TCTTGAATCATATGGAGGTAGTGCCGGTAGGAGTGAAGCTTTGGAAGATTAAACTGCGTTTGGATGCCAAGTGTGACAAATATGTCTTTGTTGTCATGAAAACGGGTCAAAGCTTCATCGAGGAGTTGCAGTGTCTCCGCTGAGTGACATGGATACTGTGCTAAGTACAGGAAGTCGAGGAGTCCGCGAAGAGTTCGAACAAGCTTAGCGCTTGAAATGTTGTTGGGAAGGGGAATGTCGATAATAACACCCAGAAGAAAGCGGCAAATCTGATTGTGCTCAGCACCACTGACTCTTGCGAGACTAGAGATGCCCTTGTTGAAGATGCGAATATTATGGTTTGGAGGGAGTCGACGGCAACGGGCATCAATCTCTGCTTCTCCAAAAGCCGATTTGATCCAAGCAATCATGTGTTTCATGAGTCCTTGATATAGCTGGTGCAATACGTCGGGGGTAATCGCATGGAAGATATTCGACTTCGGAAGTCCTTGCCAGAAAGGGTGTTGAATAGGCTTGATCCTAAGCTCGGCACAATGTTCTGCAAAGCCAATCGGATCTTCATCTGCAATATTGAGAGCAGCGAGAATACTCTCAAGATCCCGTGGCTTGAATAGGGCATCTTTACTTCCAAGCTCACCGTTCGGGACATTGCATTTCGGACATTCACCTGTCATCGCGCCAGAAACAAGAATTTGCTCGGGATAATCGCCAACATAGCAAGCAAGAAGGGGATGACCACGACGGGTGATGCCATCACCACTATGCATATGTAGCCCATCTTCTCCGGCACTTTTGAGTGGTTCGAGGATGTGCCCCATACATGCGTGGAAGAGATTTGTGATAGTGCGGCGCCGAGAGGCCCGATTCTTGATGTGCTCAAGACGAGTAGTTGGAAGGTAAGCCAAAAGGATGTGGGCATGTCGTGAAGGTTTCCGTCGAATGTCTTTTGGTATGTTGCCGATCGTCATATATACTGGGTATGCTGTCTTATTCCCGAAGACAGTGACCTGAGTCTTGTCAGAAGAGAGAATAATCGGGATAATTGTCGCTCCAGGTTTTTCTTTCTCGATTTCCTTCTGTGACGTGTCAGTGATTCAAATCAGTTTGAATTTAGAGCTGAATGAGAGCTGTTGACAAACCTGTGTGCGCCACCACCATTTCCCTGTATGCATATCATGATATAACCGCATTGTCTTGTCTTTGTCTGCATAATGCCTTTCAGGTACGAAGACAAGGTATGGTGCAAATTCTGGATCTTCGTAGAGAGCCTTGACACATTCCAGAACATCTCGGAAGTACACGTCAAAAGCTTCTCCGGCAACCACAACCTCCTGGCGGCGAAATTGTGGGCGACCGGTGGGAAGCTTCTTATCAATGATGTTGTTAAGTTCACGAGAACTTTTATAAGAGAGCCCGAGACGGTCATGTACCTGGCAGATCAGAACATGGTGAGTTTGTATTTGTCATTTCACTTAAAACTTAATGACCCACATCGTCGATAGCAAGAAGATCAGTAAATGCTGTAGAGCCTGTGCCACGCATTTTGGCCCATAAGGCTATGTCGAAGTCGAGTTTACTCTCAAATGGTGCGTAAATGTTTTCTGACCCTGCAATTTTCTGACTGTAACCCTCGTAGATATGCTCACGTGGCATTTCCGATGGTCCAGAGACTGGAGCACCTGCAGTTGGAAGGGGAAAGTGTGTGATATATGGACTGGCATGACCTAATCGAGCTTCTGCGGCATCACGGGGATTTTGATGGTGAGCTCGAGTTTCTTGATGATATTGATCTGCCAGTGACTCTTGCTCCGAATCTTGCTCACCAACATCAGGTGCATTAAGAACTGCTGGCTCCCACCCTATTTCGCCATCAAATACCACCTCCTCATCCGATGACTCATCTGCATCCTTGTCTCCTTCTACTACTCCATGGTCGTCTGGCCATTCAAAGTCTTCTTCGGTATAGTGACCAAAAAAGTCGCCTTCGAAATGTAGAACCTGACCACCCTCATCTATCTCATCAGCACCGTCCATATTTTCATCGATGCTGTTGGCATAACCAGTGGATGGGTGATATTCTGGTGCCATTTCAGTTGGTATGTGGCCCGCTAGTTGTGCATTGCTTACTTGCTCATAATGAGCAAGACACTGCAGATTTCGAGACTGTGTGGCATGGCGGTGATATCCAGCCACAGTCAGGCCTTCTTTTCCACATGGACGACATTTTATGTTGCCTCTGATACTGTGCATTGTCGAGGATGCGATGGAAATGTTGGCTTTGGTGCTTAAGTGGTGAGTGGTGACGAAATGAGGTAGCCGAGGTAGATTTAGTGTTTAGCTTGCGGGCGGAACATGAACCTTCTTCAATTCGAACCACTTGTTACAGGTTGTCTTCCCCCATCAAAATTTCCCTCTTTTAATTCGCTTCTTGCTTCACACTCATTTCGTCAGTCTTTTTCTTACAACTATATTTTACTTACCATGCCTCCAAAGGCTCCTGTGACACCCAGAGAAAAAGCTGCAGCAAAACGGCTGCAGAAGAAGGTTGAAATGGCATCCGCACACTCTGCTCAAGCAGCCACCCCTTCCGAAATTGAAACCTCAGAGAGCGTTGGTAGTAGGTTTTTTTTTAATGGATGAAGTGAATCTTTATGTCTCCTAACACCGCAGGGCCAATACGTCAAGCAAAAGAAGTAGCAATGAAAAATCAAGGTTTGTGTTGCCGACGCAGTGTCTATATTTGAACTCATCTGTTTGAAAAGTTTGGGCTGCAGACAAACCAGCAACCCGAAAACGTGCTGCATCATCTATCGCTGACTCAGGCAAAGGCAAACAAAAAAAGCTCACAGGTCAGTCGAAGCCTCATATTGTTAATATGTTCTCCTTACACTTCGTCCAGTAGGCACCAGCATAAAGAAACAGATTGTGCCACCAGAAGAATCCAACCATGGTACAGCCAGGCCACCTCGTCTACGCAGTAAGTGTTATTTTTATTATTATTAATACTTCCATATTTGTTTCTAACTTGCTGAACTCGAGAAACTCGAGAGCAGGACATTGATTTGCCCTCATTGGACCAGCAGCCTGTTGATGGTCACGGTAACACGGCTTCTGAGTCTGATCATTCTGAGAATGATGACTCGGAATTTTTATCGAGTCATGATGATGAGCTGCAAAGCAAAAAGCCAAAGCAGCTCAAGGATTTATTTTATGACAAGGTATTTCCTACAGATTAATACTGGTTGAGTTACTCACATTGATGGTGGTTCAAAGACTCCTCATTTCATCACAAATACTGTTAAGGCAGCCTTGAAACCTACAACCCGTGAGTTTTTTGTGGTGTTCTTGGGCATTATAGTGACTATCTGCCTAGATTCTTCCAAGCCAAGTGGCTCGTACACCACCTCCATGATTCCAACTTCAGACTCGGATGACGATCAAGCCACAAGTACTAGTCAAACCACGAAGGCTGTTACAAGTAAGACCAAGTTCAATGTATGTGATTCATGTTTTCTACGCTACGTGTTGTTGATGACTTATTTAACAAAGGATGTCCCTATTACCAAGAAAAGGGCCAAGAAAACTGTGCACAAGGCTGCGGAGGTATGTTTTGCATTCGAGTTGCATTCTGAATCTAGATTGGCTGAATTTACAGACTCCGCACTTCACTGCGGCACTATCAACCTCGAGCATTCCGGATTCGCTAACTCGTAATAGTACCCGCTTGGAAGACACTTGGTCTTTGTTAACACATCTTGTGTGGAACGGCAACAACACAATCAATCTCCTCAGTCAACAACCTCATATCCAAGTAATTCTTCATGCTGCCATTCAGCTTGTCGAACGAGAGCTGGTATTTGAGTGCTACTTTCCACGACCGAAACATCGCCACACCATGATGGTCAACTTAGTACTTGAAGCCGCATCATCAGCAGAGCATAAAGAAGTCTTACAGCGCTTGGAACAAGACCAAGCTTACATGAAAGCTTTCACCAGAGTGGTGAGTTTCTTGTCAATACTTTTGCAACCCACAATTCTCATGCAAGTGGTGCTACTGATTAGCCAGATGGGCGTATTGGGTTGATTCGCAAGAAACTCAAGGAGATTTCGGATCGCGTCGTTCCTGGTGCATATGGGGTCAAGACGGGTGATGACGAGAAGATCAACCGCCTGCTCAATCTCCTGACTTTCATTTACAAGTTTGACACCAAGGTTTGGTTTAGCTCATCGCAAATGTTGATCCTCTTTGACTTTTAGGACATGACAGGGCAATCCCATCTTGAGTCAGCCATTTGACCATCCCGCTATCAACACTGTATGCCAGTTAGCCTTTTTTACGAGTCAGGACCAGGTTGGGAAGAAGTATAAGGATCGGTTTGTCTCTGTGCTTGATGACAACGATGAACCCGAGATCCCGAGTGCCATGGTCTCAGCTGTGGTTACTGCGGTGCGTCGTATTCTAACTATTCAAGCGCTATCTCACTGTGTTCTACCAGATTTTTTCTTCCCTACTTGATCTGAAGTCCGTTGTTGATGTAGGTCGCGAGCGTGGTGATTTCGGGCAAAGTCTCATCGGCATGTTTGACAACAATATGGAAATGCTCAACGGAATCTACACCAAGGGCCCGCATGTTTACCATTCTCTCATGGCTCGAAAATACAAGGCTGTTAGGTATGTGCTAGTCTCGCATCTTTGTTGCATGCTGCTCATAACTTTCTGCAGCAATGTGGTTGACTTTGCATCCGCCGAGTTGAAAGCAGCATTTGCGCGAATCGATTTCGATGGGATGAGTATCGACTAGGGCATTCCTGATAGCACAAGGACTTTGCGTTACAACTTTTGTCTCATTTCCTCGTTTTCATATCTTGTGATTTGCGATATTCTAGTATATACCCTGATTTAATCACATTATAATCATTTTGTTGTATTCATGTGGATTTTTGTAAATTTTCACCCATCCGTAGAGGGACTTGGAATATTTTAATGTATTTTCAGAAAGTCAGAAAATTTCAGAAAATCTTATGAAATCTTTGCGGGAGGTTTTCCCTGATGTGTCTTGTAGCTTTGCAATTTGCGGAGTGATGGCGGTTAGAACCAGTTTAGCTACTTTGTCTGCCATTTCTATTTCGGCCGCTTCTTCGAGTAGAAAAGCTACTGCTCTTATCGCATTCTGTGCTGGGAGAGTCATTCCTGGGAGCTGCGTGATGTGGAAGAGAATGTCTGAAAGGTTGTCAACGGAGTACGGTTTGCCGCTGATGGCCATTGCCGTCTGAGTGAGATAGTTCTGAGCGCTCACTATGTCCTTGACTTCGCTATTCGAAGCTATAATCTCGTTTACCGCTAGTCTTGAGGATGACCTCGTTGGCGGTGTACTTGTCTTTTGGGGTCCTTTAGGGTTTAGCGGCATTGTGAGGCTTTTGTTCTTTTCTTATGTTTTTGTTGGTTTGTGATGATTTTATGGGTCTAGCGTATATGTACTTTAGAGAAGGAAGCAGAGATATTAAGAGAATTTGAAATGGGACGGCAATGACGCCGTCTCCGCTGTTGGGCGGTTAGCTAGCTGTTTTGGACGGTTTTTCGGGGTCTTAGTCGGGGTGCCACTTGGTACGGAACCAAGAAGCGATCCGCTTGGACTTATCCGAGTCTGGACTTACGCCATGACCCTGGATTACTTTATAGACAAATGATCGACAACGTGCTAGCCGAGAGTCTGGAGCACAGGTTGTGACCAGGATCTGTATGTTGTACGACGGGTTAGCGTGCGAGTCTTGGGTAGTCGAAGAATGACATTGTATATCGTTGACTGGATCTGCAGCGCGTCGGCGACACTGAGGATATTACCGTACTGAAATATCAATGAGAAGTTGAGAACCTAAATTTCATCGTGTGTGAATTGGCACTACACTATGTTGAATTTATGACTACCCCCTGGGATCATTACATCAATTGATGATCGTCATCACTGCACAACGAGCAAGTGGTCCACAGTATCACTCTCGCCCTGATCCTTAGTAGTCATAGGTAATACTTTCCTGACCCAGGTGTCCCCAACGTATATCGGGTACCGCGTGTCACCGCCAGTGAAATATCTGCGTCGAATTTCTTCTCCCTTGGGAAACACCTTTATAGACGGGTGCGTAAGTGGAGCAATGAGGTCGCGTTCCTCTGGCAACATCAGACGAAGGTCAGCGATGTCCGACAAATCGACAAATACTGGTTGGCGAGCTTGATCAGACAGGTAGTGTACTGGCATCAATCCCACAGGTCCCTGCTTCTGCGTTGAAATGACTGACAACACATTGGTGCTGCCGGAAAGGGTTTGGGGACGAATCTGTGTCGGCGTCCAGGGCACCCAGTCAAGTTCATCCGCGTCCATAGTCTGCTTCTCCCATTGTAGCTCCTCGAATTGATTTTCGCATAGCTTTGATGGATCTGGTTCTGACGGATCTGGCACGATAAGGAGATCCAGATGGACAAGATGTCCCAATTTCTGATAGTAGGTTGAAAAATCTGGAACAGTATTGTGTTCCACGTAGAGGGATAATGAAAGCGGTTCGGAGGACGTGGAAATAATGTGGCTTTCGTGAACCAAGGATGCAGGAGTTGCTGCAAAATTGATCTGTCTGCATGGGGAACGAGGTGGATAAGGTATTACGAATTCAGAGAATTCTGAATGCTGCACGGAGGGGACCAATGCCCTGACGAACGGTGGAACTTCCGGTTGTGATTTTTTCTGGAGCTCCTGAGAATGCCATTCAATATCATTCGCCGAGAACGCACACAGTTCTACAGGAATGTCTGTCCGATTCGTATATCCTGTCCGATGAACAATGGCCGTAAAATCCACAGACGAGTCTAGAAAGCATGCAATCAGATCACTACGTTGAGGTTTCCATTTCACTGAGACATACTTTGATAGACGTATGCTCCTTCAGGAAAAGATACTTCAATCGTGTAGTTGCTCCGCAAACTGTCTACTGATGGTTTCATGTTAAAACAGAGGCGTGCCGGAGATAGAGATGCGTTAGCACTGGGTGCGTTGTTTTCCATCGAGAGGTAGAACGGGGTAAAGGCTGTCATTCCGGCAGGTATCTCTGAGGTGGTACCATTGCTAAACCCGATTTCGACGAAGTACTCGTAAATCGATTCACCGGATATTTTCTGTAACAACACTGAGCACAAGACAAAATCAATAAAGACTGTTCTTACGTGAGTCGCTCCCCAGTCAGACATGCAGCCTGCACGACAGTCTAATCCTGGAGGGTAGTTTGTATTTGGTACCAGAACTCCGAACCGGGCCGTGAAGTTTCTCGACAATGTATCTGTTCTCTGCATTAAGCTTTGAGTCAACTCAAAATCTCAATTCGCACCTGTCCCCCCTGCACCGGCCAGAGGACTCTTGATCTCAAAGGCAATTCGTTCTTCCTCGTGCATAGACCACGAGTCCTTATTCTCGTACAACCCCCAATTATATTCCCATTCAGGCCTTTCCAGAATCAGCGCATCTTCCCGTCTGTTTGGATGCTCAGTGGAGGGTACGAGAGCGAGAAAATAACTTACCGCGACTTCCAGAATACTCTTTCCTTATAGCGCAAGCCTAGCGCATAGCTCTTGGTGTCAGTACACGGTCCGCTGAGCTTAATCTTGACATCCCCTGCGATAACTTCGCCGGGAACCATGTCAGGTGCTCTCACCCAGGCACGTGCCTGGCACTGAGACGGTACATCGTTTGATTCTGGAGAGGGTGAGTCAGTAAATGCAGCGACATTAGTCGCCAAGACAAGCACGAGGGATAACCAGCACAACATTGCCGGGGAACAGTATATCGCGATCAAGAAAAACAGGACATCATGTCCAGATTGTCCAGCCTTTATAGTGAATGACAGCGTCTCTTTGAGAGGACGCGTGGGGCGAAAGGGACGAAAATATCTACTGGTGACAGTATGGTGAAGATGCTGGCAAGGCACTGCGGTGACTTACCTCCAGCAAACATGCTCCACAAGAAGCTTTGTCATCATCAACAAATACCTTGCCCAAAGTCTGGCCCTCACTCCTCCAGTTGCTGTATGCCAGCGAACGGGCGATTCTGGATACGGAGGTGGTGTTTCCTTGCTATCCTAAAACTCCGTGGCCAAGGTTCGGATGTCGCTAGCATCCCGTGAGATCCTCGTGTCACTGTGCCTTCAACATAGTAGACTCTCTTGAAAGGCGCATCAATAATAGGGAGCATAGTAAGCCAAGAAAACCTGTTATTGATTGGATTCCAAAAGCTGTGGACTAATAATAGTCGTTGTGACAGCACACACTAGGTCCGTTTCGCAGGTCGAAGTCACTTGTAATCAACGATATAGCCGTCTTCTTTACAATATAATCCTAGTACTAACATGTCAATTTGATGCGTTGATGTAGGATATTAATAATTATTTCTGCTCTTTTCAGGAACGATGGTAGATGACGCACAGTAGCTCTGTCTGCAGAGTAGACGGTCCGAACCGACGTGGCAGACTTTCACTCCTATGAACTCTGTGTTTTTACATCACCGTCCGTCGTACCATCGCCGCTATATGATTCCACATTCATATCATTCAATCCAAGATCCTCATTCTGTTGCCACGTTCGCTCGTATGCGACGACCTCCATATTCGGATCTGGATCAGGTGCATACAAATTCTGCACGTATGAGTTCGCTAGAGGGTCATCCAGTATCAAGGTGAATGGTATCTCGGCGTTCTTGACCTTAGCAATCATCAATATCAAAACGAGAGTCGCGCGATGGTAGGAGAACACACCTGCTTAAGCTTTCTCAAGAATTCCTGGAACGCAGCTCTATCGTCAACATCTGCGACCCCAGAGTCACCCGTGTTAAATACTTTCTCGGTGAGTTCCTCGTATACCTGATCTAAAATGCCTTCCAAAGTTGTGAAACGTCCACCTAGTGTGCCGGGGTGAAGAGCGAGATCTATCTCCGGTATGCTAAGGCCGCTCGTGTCGCTCTACAGGACACTCTTAGGTCAAAGAGCTCGGGGGAAAAAGGAAGTACTTACTTTAAGTATGTCGCGGCTCAGGTCGTCTCTATCTTCCACCTTTAATGTGATCTTCTTGCCAAGCTCAGAAATTGCAGCCCCTGACTTAATCTCATTATCCCGATATCCGCAGTTGTCGCAGTTAGTTGACATTATAAGAGTGTCCTGTCAGTAGGATTGTTAGACATGAAGATTGTGCGTGCCTTCGATACGAACCTTAAAATAAGGGATAGAAACTTTCTTCATGCGCGTGACAAGAGGCCGGCTGCAGCGCGAACAGATACCAGGGAACTCGAACACTTCCTCGTCCGGACCCCCAGGTTGTTGCTGTTCTGTCTCATCTACCGCATTTTCTTCCTTGTCTTCTGCAGGGGGTGCCAATCCAAGCTGCCGATTCTGCTCGAGCGATCGCTCGTATGTGCGCATGTTCCATTTTAGATCAGACATGCTGCCCACAAACTCAAGGAACGAATTCCCAGATGGATCGTCAAGAGTAATAGTGATCGCACGTGCAACTGGATCCTCTTTCGAAAGGTCTCTCTTCTCAAGCTTGTCCTTTCCTTCTACATCTTCCTCTTCGTCATCAGCAATGATCTCCTCGAGGCCATCGATAATTTCCTGGATCTTAGCGTATGCGTTCTCATCTTGGATGCGCCTGAGTGGCTGCTGTACGTTGAGATCCGCAACAATGTCCCTGAGAAGACCCTCGACAGTTGTAAGCTGCCCACGGGAAGGCGGAAGGACCAGCTGAAATTCAGGGATATTGATCGCACAAGACTCTGAGCGGATGAGCTGGCGGTCAAGGTCACTGCGATTAAGGATTTTGACTGTGTACATAGCGCCTTCAGCTGTCTCAAAGATTTCATGTTAGGAGGTACGAGCAACAAGATGAAACGAGTGCGTACGTCTAATCTTCCCCGCCGACTGAATCTCGTTATTTGAATGGCCACAATGTTCGCATCGGAAGCTCATCACGATAACTTCCCGGAAGAATGGGATGGACGTGAGCATCATTCGCGTTACTCCCTGATTGATGTGAATATTCAATTTCACCAGCAATGAGAATGTTTGCGAACGCACCTGCTCCCCACACTGCATACAAAGAGACTCGATCTCCTCCATCGGTTTAGCGCTGATATCTTCTTCATCTCCGGCATTGGTTTTATCGACAACGTCTGCGATCGAAGGGAAGAATTCGGGGTTTTCTTCAGTTTGAGCCATGTGCCGGTTAGATGGTGGAAATGATAGCAACGAAATTCATCTCCTGCAGTCAGACCAAATTGGAAGTTAGACTTTGTCGTTCATTGATTCTGACTAATGTCAATGATCACACACCTGTTCAAATAAGGATGACAACCTGCATGACTCGCGCGCGCCACGGAATATCCGAGATTTTCTTATTACTGCATAACTAGTAGTCCTTGAATTGAAATTTACACAGCGAATGGCTAGGATAACCATCTGGCGTCCCTACAACTCGAATCCGTCCATATCTCTCTCGTGCTGGCCTTCAACTTCACCGGTCACTGATGCTTCGTTGGATCGGTATCCCCAACATACATGGGCTGCTCCATGCAACCGAAGTAAAAGTTAGGAAGCCCTCGACCTCCTTCAGACTCATGAACGGCTGCGCAATTGGTGCGAGAAGATTGCATTCCTCGTCGTCAATGGAACGGAGGTCTACGATAAGTATCTGACACATCGATAAATGCTGGTTGACGAGCTTCGTTTGACAAAGCAGTGAAAACAGCATATTGGAATGAATGATATCGGCGACGAACTTATATGGGAGATAACCAGGGCATTCGTCAAAATTGGTTTCATCCATCCTGTCTGCTGCTCCCATGGCTCTGATGGATCCGGCTTGATATGGAGATGCAGATTGACACGATATCCCAGTTTCCGATAGTGTGTTGATTCTTGAAAATGCACGAACAGCATCGTGACCCACATGGAGGGATGATGAAAGCGGTTCAGAGTGGAAGGAATACGGCCTTCAAGTCTTGTAAATTTGATCTCTGCATGCCATATGCAAAGCCACACACTTTGATAAAGGTAAGCTCCTTCAGAAAAAGACAGCTCAGCCGTGTAGTTGCTCCATAACCAATCGCCCCATGGCTGCGAGTTCCAACAGATGCGGGTGTTAGAAACACGTTGATATTGGGTGGTGTTAATGTACGAGTACCATTCATGAGGAAAGCTATTTCTACGCTTATAAGTCTCTGGTAGTATATCGGATAGTACACCCGCCTGTCATCGCAAGATGGACGCGGGAAAGCGGGGTTCGATTCCCCGCCAGAGAGAATTTTTGGGCGTTTACTTGGGGAGTCTGAGCGAGTTTTTTATGCAACGCCACGTGCACATCTGCATGCAACACAAGCTAATTGTCCTCGCTTGTCTCGATAGAACGCAGACAGCGAGAATTTAGCCAGCAAATAAGGGACCCCGACGCGAGGACGCGAGGACCCCATGGATTCCGGAGACAAACGACTCTAAAACACTAAGTACGTATCGTACAATGCCAGAATACCAGCAAATAGAAGGAGGGAGGGTAGTATGTGGGAGGGAGATGAATTGGATGAAAATAATGATGTCGGAGTAAGATCAAGGATGAACTAAGAAACTTCGCGCTAAAAATACATGATAACATACCAAATCAAATAGTAGCAAAAGGACTAGACCTCGTTCCAGACCCATCGTGAATTGCACGGCCATTAAAAACTAGAGCGTGAAGCAATGCAGGATTCTTTTGAATATAAATACGAAAACCATCAGAAGACCATCGACCCATCGCTTGTATACATTCTGCTGATACTCCCGACGCTGCCAGGGATGTCGCACCACCTGCACGCAATGAATGGCCCGATATTGAACCAGGAAACAATGCGCGAAGTTTGCGGATAAACCAGCTTCGCGTAGGCATGGAGCCATTTGCGCAAAGCCAGAGAAAGCTGTTAAAAGGAAATAGGGAGTCGCGATGACCTGCACCAAACCGGTTCAGTGCATGGATGACTAATGCTCTCCCATGAGCCCGATACCCTAGAAATCATTATGAACAATCCTCCTTTACTTTATGGTTCAGACTGCAGTTCAGATAGTATTTTCATTTCTCAGACAGACTCAGATAGGCTGAATATTCTTGTATATTTAATTTTGCGGTAAAATTCTGCTTAGTCAGCAATAACAATGACTCAGACTGAATCCCACACATGTCAAGTAACAGTGTAAAATAGTTCTTGCATAAGTTGCCTTGTGGGAACTTTCTTAACACTCTAAATACACGGCTCACGTCATTTCTACGGTCAATAAAGTAACATCATAACAAGACACCAACAAATAACATAATCAGTCTGTTACTTAATATTTGTCACATGATACTAAGTTATATGACTCTAACAGTCAGGTGACCTATGATCCTAAACCAAATCATGACAAAGCAACCTTTTGAGATGACTAAAGCTTGATGACACAAATTATAAAGCACATGACTACAGTAAATAGTATTGGTACAATCTGACTAAGCCTATTCCCCTTAGAACGTGGGAAATAGTAACACAGCCACCATAATTTATCTATATAAGACCCCACTTTTTGCCAATAAAAGGAAGCATATAGGGAACTTTTAAGCCCCACAAAATAAATTTGAGTGTGAAGTGTGATCAGTATCAACAACAGTGACAAGAGCTGTTAAGCAACTAACTGAGAGGTCATTGTAAGCAACATCCAGCAATACCTTTAGCTCATCGTCAACAACTGTGAAATATCTTGAGCTCACTGTGCTCAACAGTGAGCAAACTTTTTCTTTGATTTTCTACTGGTGAACCTCTAGTCTCTTTCTTTTCTTTTCTTTTCTTTCTTCTTTCTCTCTTTCTTTTTCTGTTTCTTTGTTTGTTTGTTTCTTTTCATTTGTCTCTTTTTCTGTTCAGTTCATTCACGTCTCAGTGTTATTGTCTGAATTTGTTTCAAGATCTTTGTGTTGTCTTTACGCCCATCTAAGCACCGGCTTAGCGGGAAGACTTCAGAAGTTGACAGTGACGCTTGACCTCACTCATCTGAGTAGTGATACTGAGCCAGGGTTTTCTTTGTCTGCTAGACTTTAGTTGTTGAATAGGGGACTTGGTACTGAAATCCAAGGACGTCCGTTCCTGATTCTGTTTAATACTCATCGTGAGTTCCTTGGCAGCAGGTTCAATAGTGAACTAAGAGTTCTACTGATCACTGATTAGTCCTGACCTTTGATTCTACCTGTTTGTGCTGAAAGGGTGATTGCTATAATTTCGCACGACTTTCTGTAGTAAATTTATTACAAGAAGCATTGTTACTGAAGGAAGGGTTTCTCTTATCAATCTATTTCTTTTTTTTATCAGTACCATACTGTTGGGCTGACTTTTCTCTGTTCTCTAAACACTGCCATACCGTTGGAGTGAATCAATTTCTTTTTGTCATCACCAGACCATTGGGCTGACTACATTCTGTTTATTTTATTTTCTATTGTGTCCATACTGTTGGATTGACTGGTATTGCTACTGACCTCACAGGAAGTACTTTTGTCTGAACATAGCTTGGGGAAGTGTAAACAGCCACCCACGAACAACCACGTTATCAGTCATTGGTATTTGTCTGAATCACTGACCGTGGAGATTTTTGATTTTGTAGGTGTTTATCTATAGATCATCTATCTAAGAAGACAGCGAGAGGCAAGATAAATGATCAGCAACCACGTTTTGTTCACCTGAGACATGGAAAACTCAGAAGTCGATCTGAAAAGCTAGAACGACCTCAACAGTATCCATCAGGAGCCGGTTATAGCCTGAAGGACCTGCTAAAGAATTAAACATGAAGACTGTGTTCAAGCTATCAGTGAAAACCGCGAGTCTACCATCGGGTGGTACCCGAGTGACAGCGTCATGAATAGCTGAAGAGACGCAAAGAGATTCGTAGAAGAATATGTCTTCCACAGGTGATTGAGACGGAAGGGGTGATTGGAAGCCAAGATTAAGCGCCAGGTACCAGAAACCAAGTCCAGTGCCAGAAGTGTCGCAGAAAACTTGAACCACAATATTTGGTAGCGAGTCAAGGTTCCAGGACACTGATTTGAAGAAGAAGATCCCATTAGAACGTTCCAAGTGAAAAGCGGCCCAGAGAAGTTCTTCGACAATACTTCGGTTGATCCACAACAACCCTTTCGAGTTAGTTTTGCCTCAAGTCTTCTCATAGACGGCTGCAATCCCTGGTCGCAGCAGGGGACATACATTCAACACCCAATTTAAAGACCCGGCAATATGCTTGAAATCCTTCAAAGACCTCTTCCGTTTATGCTTGGTGAAATCCTTTAGTTCTTGCACCAAAGCAGCCTTCAACTCGGCCTTGAGAGAAACACACATAGAGTTTGGATTAACGTCGAAGCTGATAACAAGGAGAGGTGATCCAAAGATTTGTTTTCATTCTTCATGAGGGATTCCTAGCTCATCCCAAAGAAGCAGGAGCGACACCATATCTCGAGGTAACATCTTGTGATATTTCCCATAAACTGCCATGTCTTCAATCCTGGCAAAGGAAAAGGAGTCGTTGACATATAAGAAAGCTCGAACGAGCCTGACGAAGACTGCAAGCCATATAACTAAGGACATGAAGGCATGAAAGATGCGCTGAGATGCCCGGCCTCCAAAGACATTAGCACGATCTATTCACCTTTGACCTTCGAAATTAACAACTTGTTTGATTTGCCACAGCGGATGCATAGGCATGTGTCAATAGGCTTCAGACACATCAGCTTTCCAAATGTGAAGAGTATCATGAGGGTTAGATTGGCGATGAAGACGAAGAGCATCTCCAAGATCTTGAACGTTGTCAAGAGTTACTCCGGCAATGTCTTCTTTCGAAATCATAGAGTTAAGTGAGAAGTCACCAGCACTGTGGTTCATGACAAGACGAAACTTGCCACCATCTTTTGGTACAGCATGAATAGGCATGCTATACATTCCCGGCAATAGGTCAGGACCAAAATTGCAAGAATATCTTCCCACTGATTCCTCCTTGATGATTTGATCCCGCAGGAAGTTCTGTTCCTGATCCGAAGACGGAGAAGGTGAAGGAACGTCGAGAGTAGTCGGATAGACTCCATAGTGCATATTAGCCCAAGGCCAAAACCCTTCATGAAGTCCTTGGCAAACAGATTTGATGAAAGCAGGATTAGGGTGATTAGCGAGGGTAAGGAGCGTTTCAAACCTGTCAACATTGACAGGTGTTCAGACAGCAAAAAGGTCAGGTCGAGAGGCGATAGTATTCATTGCTGACAGATTAAGAAATTCAGAAGCAGGAGGACGTGGCAAAGGGTCAGCAGTCTCTGTCCATCTTGCTGTCCCACTAAGAGCAGTACCGTCATCCCCAAATCATCCGTCTCCGAAAACGTGGACCTTTAGCTATCTTTTCATTTAGCTCCCTTTGCCAGGGAACATTCAGTGCGCTTGTGGGAGCCACGGCATTTACTGCAGACGTGGAAGCGGATACATTTGGTAGGTGGCTTCTCACACGCCCCGCGGTTCCAGTTAAGACAAACCTCTCCCTTTGAGGACGAATCCTGACGTGACAATTTTCGTCCTCCACCTTGTGGCTTCCCAGAGACTTTGTCGGATGGGTTGGAGGAGAGGTGCTGGAGCTCTGAATAGGCAACCATTCCGAGGGAAGAAAGGTGGGAAGTTTCGAGACTCCGGAATTCTTGGAAGTCATCGAAGTGGAGGTACTTTCGTGCTTCAACCTCAAGCCGACATGCTCGATCGAAGTCAACAATTCAGGAGTGAACGCTGTAGTGGACATCCTGAAAAATTCAGGAAATGTAGCGTCTATATCCTTGGAGTTCTGCCTCCTTCCAAGGCATAATGAAGGCAAGGGCATCTTGCCACAAGTCAGTGGCAATACTCCAGTCTCCGTAGGAACGGACATGATGGGTAGTGGTCGGTTGACTAAGGGAAATTTCGAAACCTTTCCCAAGAACTTGGGATTGTTTTGGGTCAATCGTCGTGGAATAGTGTCCTGACAAAACTTTGTTAAGATCTGGTGCTCGTCCCTCGAAGAGGAGGGTCCACTGTGACGATGGAAAGGACGGACATCCTGGAGTGGTAGTAACTTGTCCACGATAATACTTTGAGTCTTCCGACCATTCTTCAAGACATTCAAGAGTAAGTCGTTGCGCTTTCTTTCTGGGGAGATATCAATAATTTCCTGGTTGCAACCAGGGATAGAATTGGAGATGTTCAGAGGTAAGTCTGCAACACTTTCCCCTGAGAACATATTCATCTCCTTCATCAAATTTGTCACTCTCAACCTCTTCACTGGTTTCTTGTTGGCGTGATTTCTCTCTGAATCTCTCACATCTTCCCAATCTCTCTTCCTCTTGAGCTCAGGATGAAAATGTTTCTTCGTGAACTTCTCTTTCATGTGATCCAAGTCGTAACTCGGAAGGTTCTTTGACTCTATCAAGGAGGTCCAAGAAGTGACTGAACCCGCTCTTGAATTGGACTTGGGATAGAGACAACGAGGCCAAAACAGATTCTTGTAAGATCCTCTGAACTTCGAGTGCGGTGTAGAGACTCATGCCTCTCATTGTGCAATATGGCAGTTTTCACTGGGGAGTACATGGCACGAACTTGTAGCATCACTCTGTGTGCTACCCGCAGCTATCTCTATATGAGGCGCAGCTTTCCCGCGCAACGCGCGCCATGCGCGCGTACCTTTCCCGCGCTTCACGATGTATATGCGCGCGCGCTTGAGCGCCCTATAGCGCCAGCCATCCGGAAGCATCCATCCACTGTCCACCAAGTTCCCTAGTGCGTATATTTCCATTTCTCACATTTGCATATCGTTCCATCTTTATTTTTATCATGGACCCTTACTTACATATATCCTTACATACCTTACTCGGTAGCGCTTCGGCTCCGCATGACAGCGCTTAGGCGCCATACTTAAGCGCCAGCAGTACATACTATGACTTACTCACTTACTCTCCCACCAGAACGACAGAGGACTTACTGGTTACTACCCACTATTTACCTAGCAGAACATAGTAGAAATCTATTTGTTTACACCTCGCATCTCTCTTCTCTTGTCTTACATCATATCATCACTTAAGCAAACTCACTCTTACTCTCTCTCGTATCTGTATACACGCGCACGCTTTCCCGCGCTTCGCGCCATACACGCGCGCATTCCCGCGCACCTGCGCTTTCTCACGCTTCGCATTGGCCAACCAGTAGCGCTTTCAGCGCATACCACTAGATCCTTGCTGCACTCGCTTCCCCTTTAGGGTCGAACGCACTTGTCGTCTCAAGTATAGCAGACTAGGCAACGCGCAACCTTACAACATTTATAGATACAGTCAGGAGCATTGTTCGTGCCTCGCTGTATCGTTGAACCTTCAGCGGCATCACCTTTTTCGATAATGTCCCGTTTATAACGGTCGACGATGTCGAGACAGTCTCTAATGGCTTGTTGGTCGAATTGAATTCCCCTGACGGACAGATGGAGAGAATCTGAGATTGTTTGGGAGGAGGATTCGACATTAGGTGAGGAGGGGGATTCGACATTAGGAGAGGAAGATTCAGCATGCTCAGACATGAGAAAACGTAGTTTCAATGATAATAAATATTGCGCAAATTCTGCTATACTATCGAGACGAGAAACTCGAGTGAGAAAAAGCCAACAGAATGGACAACAACAGCGTACCTAGCGAGACGAGAAACTCGAGTGAGAAAAGGCAGAGAGCCATTTCGGATTCGTCTCGCTAGACATAGACTGCTATCTCCACTAAAGGAGGTGGCGATGAGGATCGCGAACGGCAAGTTCATCATGCCGAAATGCACAGGGCAAAAGCCGCAGGGGCAAAAGGCAAGGCCCAAGACGAAGAGACACGGGAAGACCCGAAGGGAGAAACGGGTCTGCTGTATTCCAGGTGCCGGGTAACGTAGCCTGCCGGAGTTACCCGGCACCACACTTCCAGCTGAGCGGTAGCGCAGTCTCCCACGTTCGTTTTTCTTCCTCCTATCGTCAACAACGAGCTCGCCACAGCTATAGTACACTCACTCGTTGTTATTTTTGTTCTTTGAGCCCACCCGCCACTCCCTTAGTTCTAGCCGTAATTCCGTCCCTTCAGTATATTATCTCGTCGTTGGTTGTTCACAAGCTAGAATATATTCAATTTTATCGCGTATGAAGGTTAATGAGTCAGCGCACAATCGAATTCGTAAGCAGGTGCCCGCCCTCCCAGCGGCTCCACCTGCTTGCGTCCCACCCCGAGCTAACGCTCGGTCCAGCCCAACATCACAGATTGTAGCATTGACTCTAAAGCCAGACGAAGCTGGAAGAACAGACTCGTCCAATTACCCTTGTGTAACCCAGATTAAACTCGATTAATTTCGCAAATGGACTTCTTGAGAGCTACACATCTTCCATAGCTTTTAAGTCCTCACAACAGGACAATCCTTCTTTGATTTGGCCTACAGATTATACAGAATATATATCACCACTCCACGAATTCGAGTAGAAAACAAGTTATCAAGAACGCGTCGGATGAAACGACGGTGTAAGGAAAATAAGTCCTAGTGATTGTGGTGAACAAAGCGGGTAATACGATAACGGTGATACGCGGGTGTAGCTGAAAGGGATATGTACGGGTAGCGCGAAATGAACAGAGCGGTGACCAGTAAAACAGCATGATGCAAGCGAGAACAGAGCAAGCAACGATGAAGAGGGGGGTGTCCAGGCGGGTACTGGTGCATTTGCGCGAATCGACAAATCGAGTACGGCAGACAGCGAGCAAGGTGCGTACTAGATCAGACAGCAGCGTGACAGCGACAGATCGAGCGCAGAGCAGAAGGCATAGATGTGGCGCATAAACAGGCGGGTGTGGAGAGAAACCGTATTTGATAATCATAGAATCAACTCAAAGAACAAAATCAAAGAACAAAAAACGAAGTTGGCGTTGTGGGATGGTGTGATGGTTGTGTTGCACAAAATTAACAATGATCATGATGCTCGTGTGATGGATATGATGCAGGCGGGGGATAGATATTGTGGGTGTCCGTAAAATGGATATGCGTTTTGGGTGAGTGATAGCCGTGATTAAGAAGATTGAACGAAGGGGTAGGAGACCATGCGCGTCGCCGGCCTTATGAGTTTTCATCCTCGTCACCGTCCAAGCCTGCTGCTGCTAGCCGCTCCCTTTCCGCCCGATTCCTTGCACGAATGGCTGGCAACTCGGCTAAAAGAGACACCTGCTTGCCTTCTTCCCACCGTTCTAGAGCCCACTCTCGTACGAGTATGCTCACCTGCATGATGATTGGGTTATCTACTATGTGTGCGCAGTTCATTAAGACGTACCTTCATGAAGCGCTTGCCGGCGTATTTCTTGTAAAACGATTCGTGACGGATGGGTTTAAGAATATAGTTAAGCATCAAGTTGGCGGTCGGAATTATGGAGCTTTCCGCATACGATGAGAAATGGGCATGATTAGGAGTCTAGAACCCAGAAATGTTATCAACAAGATCCAACATGGCACACACACTACTTACCCATTTATCGTTGCCGAGAATGAGGCGTCCCAACCAGGTCGCCGCCGCAGCAACCAGGGAAGGTGGCGTGGCCAGCAACCGCCACTCCAGTGTACCCACTTCTAATAAATACTTTCCCATCGTCCTCGATTTGACATCGTAATCATCCGCTTTGCTTATACGGCGCAGGAAGTGCATCGGGTTCGGATAGCTCAAGTTCCAGTCGATTGTTTTCAGGACGTACCGCTCTGCGAGAAGGATCTCGGATTCGGTGTAGGATGAGTCCGCGCAGTGAAGGAAGTGCGAGACGGATGGTGCGACAATCTCTTCAACCTTGGAAGAGACGAATAGACACGTAATGCCCACGAGTTGAAGTTTAGCAAGGGAGACGACGCGTGCTGACAAGAACCTATCGATGATGTTCACGCAGAGGAACAGGGTCTCAGGAAGTAATCGGAACCGTGCATGTACTTGCACCAGCCAATCGAGAAGGATTCCACGCATCGACCAGGCCAGCTCTTTTTGCGATGCCATGTATTCCGGATTGGGAAGTGTTATAAGCTGAAGGCGGCTCTTTAATTACAACGGAATGATAAAAATACTCGGAGACTCATACCTCGGTCTGCTTCATGTACTTGAAGATCTCGACAACATATTCGCTGACCATCAATGGATCATCGGCATCCTCAGCATCGAGATCGTCCCACTCGTCACCATCCGGGTCAGCTTCAGGTGCCACATCGACATCCAGAACAGCCGCCACTTCTGCCTCGTGTTGCGCTTGCTCGTCTATGTCAGTCTCGGGAGCATCAGAAGACGTTCGCCTCTTCTTAAATACACGATCGTCTTGAACTTCCTCATGTATCTCAGTCTTTAAGACGAGATGCGACGAAGTCCGTCGAGCAGCCTGAACACGTTGTACCTCCTGGGTGATCACCTGTTGGGTGTTCGCCCCCGACCTGCGGGTTGAAACACGTCGCGAGGGCTCAGGAGCCGGTGGGTGTTCATCCACAGCCATTGCGTCGTCGTCATTGACCACAAGTTCCTCCTTGATATCTTTTAACGGTTTTACCTCTGGGGCAATCACAGACCGTGTAGTGCGACGTGTGGGAGCGGGGATCTGTCTCAAAGGAATAGTGGGCTTCGCCTTAATCACTACGCCATCAAACATTTCTTTGGTCGGTGGGGCTACTTCTTTGCCTTTGCCTTTTCCGTCCTTAGCCGCTGTGGCAGCGGCCTTGTTCTTGTTGATGTTCTTGGTCGTAACTTCGCCAAGCGCTTCACGCTTGCGTTTTCCCTGGAGAGTAAGGTCGACCTTGTTTTCATCGTTGGCCCCAACTTTTGCACGAGAAGCCGCGGTAGCGCCCAAGGCCCTGGATTGGAGTGTGGCGGTGGGAGCGGGAATGCCAGACGTCGATGGAGGCTTCACACGGGAGATAACACGAGATGGACGGGCATTAGCGTTCTCGCTGTCCTTCTGAACCGCCGTACGGGTAACCCGCGTTACACGGCGAGTCTGAAACATAACATATCAATCAGCGACAAGCCCATCGATGACGAACAAGAGTCGATAACGCATGTGGGACTTACTGGTAAGTTGGAAGACATTAGCTATCTAATTTACGCAGAGGGTACTCTATCTGTGCGTGCAGTAGCTAGATGGATGGAATGTAAAACGAAGAGCGAAACGGAAGATGAGAGGAACTACTTGAACTATTCCAGAAATGGCCATTTTAAATTTCAACCATCCACACATAACACAAACAAACAAACGCGTTCGCGTTTCATCACGTGATAAATGCCATTGTCCACGCGCACGAGAGCGCTTGTCTTTGGTCAGAGTCCATTATCGTTTATTATCAGTAGATGGGCTGCGCCATTTTGACTGTGGTCGGATGAATGTATTTAAAATCGCATTATGGAGACAGACATCATCGTGGCATTACGCGCGCCTCGTGATCTGCCGCATGTTGTCCACTGTTATGCAATGATATCGGTTGTCAGAATTCCCATCAGTGCGCTGGCGTAAATACATAACCGATAACCAATTTGCGCTAGTACGGATCGCTTCAACGTCGACTATTTGCAACTCACCTGATTGTTTTCAAAGTCTAGTACTATCGCAGGTTCGCCGCAAGACTGAATTATAATTCATGACAATCCCAATATATTACAGCACCGAGTAAGCCGAGTACAGGATCTGCCTAAATACCATCACTAGAGGAGTCCAGTCCGAGAGATCCGCAAGTCCAAGAGAAACACAACCACCTATAGAGTTTCCCGTGCCACTTTAAAGGGCAGACGTGGAAGACAGATATAAGCAGCAATGAAACCCAAGAAAGTACTTCACCTCATCAGGATCCTCGAGGGAAAGCATCCCAGCCGAACGATGCAACCGGAACCAGGACCACCGCAAGCCAAAGGAACAGCCCGTTAACCAAAACACAAACCTTGCGACCAAATGCAAAAAGAAGGAAATCGTAGGAATGATGGGACAAGAAAAATAGGAAGAAGAAAAGAAAATTTCGGGAAGAGAAAAAAAAAACCTTTGCAAACGAGACACACTGTAAACTTGATGCATTAACATTCTTCGTGCTTCCGACGAGTCCTGGGTGTCGCATCATCCAGATCCAGAGCCAACTTCCGCTTGGGGGACGCTTCGTCGAAAGGGGCAAAGACGGAGCTAGCGGAATGCCAGGAAGGACGGACGATGGGAATACCGAGACCACGACGGGTGACGAATGGACGATGGCTGACACCAATAGGCTGGTAGATGCTGGCATACACGGAAATCGCATCCGCGAGGGGTGAGCCCGGAACGACGTCGAATGCAAAATCCGTGCATGCTGAGTCAAAACACGGAACCCAAGAGGGCATCGTAAAAGAGGGAGAAGGGGGTGCGGAAAGTGAAGAACATGGGGAGGAAGGGACTGATGTATGAGGTGTATCAACCTCAGAGGGCAGGGATACTGTAAAGACGATTAGCGCTCAAAAACGGTAGAAGCCGACGAAATCTCACTGTCAAAGTCATCCGTGGATGCCATCGAATAACACGAGACCGAGGAAGCAATAGACTCGTCGTCAGAGTCGTCATCAAATGCCGAACGACAGCCCTGATCAGTCGGTGGAACTTTGGATACAGTATGAGCTGCCACTTCGGGCTCTTCCTCCTCTTCTTCGATGACTGAAATTGCGATTCCTTGACGAGCGGAAGTTTTAGCGCCAAGCACAACAAAGAGGCAAACAACTGACCAGTTCTCTTCTCTACCTTGGTTAGCTCAGCTCTGATCTCCACAAACTGACGGAAGTATTTCTTGTTCTCCTCCTCCAGCTTGCGGCAGGCGCTGTTGGCCGCTTCAACCTGATCCCAGAGACCCGAGCGCTGAGCGAGAAGCTGCTTGACATCCTCCTGTAACTCTGCGTTTTCGTCTGCATGATGATGCAAAGCTGCGCACTGGTCCCTAAGGCCGACAACCTCCGTGTACGCGAGCGTAAGGCGTTCCCTCATCGAAATATTTCGATCTTCGCTCAAGGAATCGGTACCTAGGACGGCGTGTCAGCGATGATAGTTGGGGTAGAAAGAAAAGCATACTGCTCGAGGTATAGGGTATAACGTTCCCTTCAGGAGATATTATCTTTAATTCAGGTATTCCTGGTCGTGAGGGTCAGCCAACAGCGAAGAACATAGAGAAAAACGTCTCACCTGCAGCTGCTCTCTTCAACTTCTTCAGCTCCTTCTTGGCACTTTCGAGTTCCCTCTTCGTCCGGACGAGCGTTCCTTGCAACGCTTGGACTTCTTCATGATGTTCTTGCTGTAAGTCGGATGGCGTCTTCTCGGCTATGAGTTCGTCGCGCTCGGCCTTAAGGTTTGCGATCTCGAAGCGGAGTGCAATGTTGGCAGATTGTAATGAGGAGAGGATAGACCTTTGGGAGCTCATCTTGGCTGTAGCATCCCGGGACGTCAATTCAGCTTCGTTGCGACGAACCTCTTCAATCTCTAGATCGCGCCTAAAACGGTCCATTTGGTTGCTCATGGTTAGATTCTCCAGCACGAGCCCATCGATATCAGCGTTGGCAGTGTTGAGAGCATCCTGCACATGTAAGAGCTGCTTCAGGAGAACGGCGTTCTCGTTCCACGCATCGGAGAACAGTGCGTGGACATAGTGACCAGGGCCTATCGGAGCGTTGTGCAACTGCGGGCTAATGTCGGAACAACTGATGCTCCAGTGCAGCCGAGGCTCAGGTACAAGACGAGGGTTGTCCAAATCTGATTCCAGGATGGCAGGGGACGACGAGGACGGAGGAAGGCCTGATGGAGATGAAGCACATGTGGCTGACGAAGAAGCAGCCTTCGAGGTGCAGACTGCTTTCTCCGCTTCCTGGAGCCTGGGCGAATCTATGGACAGAGCAGGACTCTGGGCCGTCGAAGGGTCGAACTGACAGCGGCAGACGTCGAAGGCCAGCCCAGCCATGATAACAACAAGATAGAAGAGGACCAAGGTCACAATCTTGAGGACATCAAGGGTAAAGACAAGCGTAGGAATCCCAGCAGAGAGAGAAGGGGAACACAAAGAGAGGCGAACGTTACACTTGTCGGAAGACATATCGATAGATAGATGCAAGTAAAATCGTCTGGATATGCGAATATGCAGATGTGCGGACGATGGGAGTGAGCAAGAAAGATGAACACTGATGTTTCAGCCTTCGTGTGCGGGTTTTATACCTGGAAGGCTGACATTATTAAGTTAACATGCCAGCCTCTTGGTCGCGATCAAGGTTTCACCGGATTTCAAACAGGCCTGCATACTTTGAATTAGGTATAAGACACTCCTGCCTGCTGCACCTAACTCGGATTAAAGCTTGTCCTTGCCCATTTGAAACGGATAAAACTTGTCCTCTTCCATGTAGCGTGTACTTGGCCAATTCGACACGACTGAGAAGGATGAGTCCGAGAAAATAACTTAGGCGTTGTTTGGATCACAAGCTGTTGCCAAACAAACCACGTCTAGGCTGACTAATAAGCCTCGAATTAGGTTGACCCCTTTTAAAGTTTTGGTACTACTGAGTCAAATCATAAATACCCCGGTACGATCCCACAATGGGCTTTGAACTCAGTACTCATGCCCGCAGCCCGATCATCGACATCCCTCAACCTATCATTAGCGGTGTAAGTAACGTATACAGGTGTCTGCAAGCAGCTATTACAGGTAACAGTGTGATACATAGTACTATGTGGAGGAATTAAGTCGATGAAACACACTCATTGAATCTGAGGATTTACCAGCTACCAGAACCATAACACGGAAGTTACCAGAGAATATATCACCCGAACGCGAATAAGACTGGCCTGAGATAAGACACGGGGCACTTCCAGCTGGGTGTAGCCTCGCACATCATATCACCGCATGAACGTAGAAGTAATAATACAATTGGGGCAAGATTTGATTATCATGATATCAGAATCAGAATTAGCTCACTTGATACGAACGAAAATAATCAAATTCGATTGAATGGCGATTTGAAGCTGAGAATTCGAAGTCAGAAAGAACTGATACAATTTACTTACATGCCACACATTGTTGCAGTCCGTCTGGTGAATCGGGACATGAACATGACATTAGACTAGTGCCCCCCCCCCATTTCACCACTGTCGGGGGGAGGTTTATTGGAGCTACCTACTCTGGTCACTCGGATCGACAGCTCTACGTCAGCTTCACTGTACCCAGATTAAAAATTGGACTGTCAATCTTCCATCTCTATCTCGCCTTTCGCGAATCTTCCCCTTCATGCCTTTTTTTGCAAGATTGGCAACGGGGTTGAAATCTATAGAAGTTGATAGTCCAAATTTGTCCGGAACAGCGGGATTCAGGGAACCTAGTAGAGTGGTATCGGTGGTTCCATACAAGTGCGTCACAATGGCTCCCACGAGTCTTGGGCACACAGGCTGACTTGCGCAGTTATCATTATGTAGTGCTGAAGTACTGACACATTGTCAAATGGCATATTAGCACCGGATGTAAATGGATTGATATCATATTGTAGGCTCGCCTTTCATGCACATGCCCCAGAATAAATCACAAATCCTGCAACGAAGGCTTTCCCCACTAGAATGAATGCAAGAGGAGGTACAATGATACCTATACGGGGAAAGACTCAAGATTTGCTTCTGCTTCCCCTTCTTCGTTTTCCACCAGATGTACCTTCAACCAATACCACATACATCTGGCATCTGAGTACTACTCCCGTTTCCCGTGCTACTATACGGCAGTCGGAGCCGTTTGATCATTTCCCGCTAACCAAAGGTTTCACAGGATGAGGCAACTCTAGCAATACAGCAAATATAAGGGCCGAAGGTGTAGGAATCTGGGGTAATATAATTAGGCGGATTCCACTGTTAGGGGTGGGACACATGCCGAGATGGAAGAATCGGAAAGTTGTCTGGTGGTCGTGGTATTGGATCAGAAGATACCAAGCGGTGCGGGACAAAGAGGATACAGCCGCCTGCAACGTTAACGCGATCTCACACCTATGTAGGAAGAAGACCTGTGACAGAAGCGTGTTACACATTCAAAACGCGACCAGACACAACATCGGCATAGCCCGAAACCATTCCTACGACGAAGGTTCTCCGCGGGAGTGCGATACAAACACAAGGCCTAGGGTTAGCATTGAACAAGACACCTCAGTTTCAAATCTATACCAATAAAGAGTAGATAAGGAGTTTCTTCGTCAGACAAGTTAAACCCATCCCTCCTGTACCATGTGAATCTCTGTCAAGAATGTTCCATGTAGTTGAGATGAATATGCATCGATTCGTCGACGTAAAATCCGCCCTAGCAGCAGACACTGCAGCGGCGGTGTTTGAGCAATGTACGCCGCATGACGTCTATTATGAGGTGAGAGAAAAGGCACAGCGTCTTGATACTATGCTTACTAGGCGGTGACAGGGTTGACATTTTCCTCACTCCTTTGTGGACATGGTGACGTTCGTGTTGTTTGTGCCCTATTTTCGTGCAGGAGAACTGAACTCAAATGTATACCGAATCCTTCCCTATTTCCCTGGGCTGCACAGGATTCGGTCTTCCTCTGCCAGCATCCCGAAACCGGCTTGGACACACTACTAGATGATCTTCGTCTTCTTTGCAGGTGTTTGGGACACGTACAACATGATTAATTAAGATGTTGCGCCTAACGACGAATTGAAAGTATCGATGCAGTTAAAGAATCATCTACAGAGGCGTTGATACCTAGATGGTAATAGTGCCCAATCAGCAGAAAGTCGCAATCGACAGATGATCTTGGAATGATGGCAAATCCCAAGGGAGGACGTTCGAAAAGGACAAAGCATGCTTATGAGTAAAACCTTCTTGAATCCGACGGTTCAAAGATCCATCCCGTTTACCATGCCTGGCGATGGGAGAGTCAGGATAGTAGTTGTAGACACGACTGTATATGCACGAAAAGTGTCAGATGCGATCAAAGAATGATGCTGTGAAACGTTGTCTCCACGTGATCCGACGGTTGTTCCCGGGAACGGAAGTAACTTATAAGTTATAGCAAATTCACAGCTTATTCCGTTCCAAAAGTGATCCTAAGACACTAACACGAGTGACCTCGTCCATAGGATGCAAGGCAGCCATCATAATGCTGTGTGTTGCTCAACACGTGTATGCTGTGGAAACATGCAGTGCATATCTACACCCACAATGCGTATTGTGCATGTTGGGAACGTGGGAGGGGTACGCCAAACTGGGTATCGAATATGCCGCCCGTGCTAGTCGGATGGGTGTCTTATAGACGGGCGGTCGATTACCAGTTGGCTTCCAAGAGACCCCAACAATCACAATGGAACGACCAAGGTTCAGAAGATCAAGACGAATGAGAAATGCCGAAGACCAACCACGGCGAACCGCTGTCCCACCGCGAGCACGGCCTACCCCAACTCACCCCAAAGAGACAAACGTAATACGATTACCTGAAGGAAGTGGTCTGGGGAGATTTACGCTGGATGTTGGAGGACCTCTTGATGCAGTGACGAGTGTCTGTTGGTCGAGAAGTGGAGAACAAATGTTCTCAGGTTCTCGAGATGGAACGATCCGGGTTTGGTCGTCAGGGACCGGAGCCCAAGTCGCTCTCCTCCAGGGACACACGAACACAGTTCACGCCATCGCAATATCTTTTGATGGTCGCTTCATTGCGAGCGCATCCTCTGATTGTACTGTTCGCCTATGGAGCGTGCGTACCTATGAAGCAGTCAGCCCGCCCTTCGAGCATGCCGACGAACTCTATTGCGTCACATTCTCCCCTGACCGTAAGCGAGTCGCATGTGGTGGGAAAGACACCAAGGTGTATCTGTGGGATATCGAGCCATACACTAAGCCAGACGCTAGTATAATGGATAGCTGTGAACCAGCTCCGGAATTACCGTTGGCTCCCTCAGACGAAGATGTAAGAACTGCTTGCACTGTGCACTTAATTGTTAGAAGTAGCTGATGCGAGCAATTATTTCAGATTCTTAATGAGCTCTTGATACAGGAGGTAGGGAAGTGTATTACTTACGCTTTCAATACTCATGATAGGCAACAGGTCGCTGGCTTCCTTCCCCCGCTGGCGCTTCAGAATGGAGTATGTATATCGTACCATAGTGTGATATCTCTGATTTGACTGCTGCAGGTTCCACCTGATCTGAATGTTCCCTCAGCATTTACTGAGAATTGGCCCAGCAACGAGATCAACAATGCTCTCGAAGTGAGTGCCAACGTCTGGGCTGTAGTTTAAATTTCGCACGCTTAATTATCATCTTGACAGGATGCATCAAAGGACTCGAACCAGCCCAAGGAGTCTATTGAAATCCTTCCTAGTCCAGTACCTTCCTCATCCTCATCCAAGCATCGCTTCTTGGATAGACTACCACTCTTTCGTCGTCGAAACGATGTCGATAATTGTAGTGCCGCAAATTCGTAGGTGGATTTGTTACATCAAATGAACAATCATTCATCATTTTCAGGGTCCTGGCGAAAGGATGATGATATCTGAATTCCTGACATATCCCATAGAGATTGTGACCCGCAGACAGACCAAGTTTTATTGACAGTAACAGTATCGTTCGACTCCAAGCTCTGTATCAATGGCGATCTTGTATCAGTTCAACTGGTTACTTTACCTACCATTGTTGCCCCTCGAGGAATGATTATCACGATGTTTAGTCTATTTCCACTTCGTTTTGCGTATATTTCCCTCAAGGAAGAACAGCGTGTTTTGTTCTCAAATTTGCGTCGCTGTCACTGTGCCATACAATTGCATAATACTCTTGACATTTTTTTTCGCAGTTGCATATTGAGTGTTGCCGAACACAGTTAACAACAGTTGACTCGAGCTCCGTGGAACACACATTCCTAAACCGTATCTTCGTTCCTATGTGGTGAATATTGAGGTAAGTTCCAAGGGTTCGGGTTAGCAGTGGCTTACACATTCTGAGGATCCCAACCGGTGTTCCGAGGATCAGATAATCAGCGCTCAGCCTTCTTGCCTATCTTACGCCTATAGTAGGAAAGTAGGCTGATTGAATGTGCGCAACCTCATGGTTCAGAACTGCCGTCTATCATCGGACAATCGGAACATGCATCTGACATTGCTTCAAGTTCAGGTGTGTACAAGTAAACTTGCAGTCATCGAGAATGTATTCATGGGGCCCGAATTCATAGCGCAGTTTAGGTGCCCTTCGGCACGATCGGGAGTGGGGTTTCTGCATACAGCGCCTTCATATCGCCAACCGCTCAATCAGCCTTGGCCACAATCAGACGTACTTCCTGGACTGATTCAGGACTCCACGACATACTAATAGCACCGAGGTTCTCCTCGAGATACTGTGCGAGTCAAAAACATGAATGCGCGAGGTTATACGCAATGATGTAGCGACTGTCCTTGTCACTGCTGCGTCGATGGATGTATTTTCAGGATACTGATAAACATATTGCATAGCCTTGCACTTGACGTGTGTCTTTCTGTTTATCACTTATTGATATGATGCACTGGATTCAGACTTTCAGACCGCTCGCTTCCCGCGCAAGTTGCTCCCTGGCTCGGTTTCTGACAAATACCTGTGCTCGTCAATATTTTCTCGGATGACATTGCTATTCACGGCTTTCTTCACAAAGCACAGAATCTTGTACACACACATTTTCTGGATGCTACCATAACCTACAAGTCCCTTGCTCTTTCAGCCCCCAGTTGAGTCTGAATGGCTTCTACTTTACCGATTCCGTTACACGTGCAAAAGGGGCTTTGAGTAGCTACGAACTAGTAAGTCCTAATCCAATCCCACATATACAACTCCTTGGAGACTAATATTCACATGGCATTTATCAAGAGTCAGGGGTTTCAACTTTGTGTATGGAGGAGGCCGGCCGGCTCTGACACTATGTAAATGGGTATATAAACAGTCCACCCAATAGCGTCCGTATACGTTGTCATGATGCTACTGTGCGGCGCATTTCATTTTTCTACCTACTTTATTATTCTGACTATCCTTTCTATATTTGATCCGGGTCTCAGATGCAGGCCTCACCTCGAACTGAACGTAGGCAGGCAGGATTTCTCGGAAGGTATATACTTTGCAGGGGTCAGGCCTATCACGCGACTCGTGTGTGCTGCATTCTTTCATTGAATCGCACGAACAGCTCCTCGGACGCCTTCTGAAGAAATCCTGGACGAGGGCAGGAACGTAATACCAGCACAGGCTCAAGCTTCAACATCAATGTCAACAATGTCCGTAACTACTGGCTCGGGAACCATTGTACGACGCGTCCTCCCAGAATACCAATGAAAGCTTCTCGTAAAACCAGTTCACGAACGACGTTGCAGTAGAACGCCTCCGGAATCTAAACTTGACGAGCTAAGTCTAGGCAGCCACGAACTGCATCGCGAAGATCTGCGAAATCAGGTGCGGGATTGGCTCCAAGGCGTCTCGAGGCAGACACAAAGAACATGGCCGTTTAGGTTAAAATCGGTGAGCATATTTATGCCCATCAAATACCTGTATTGAGCTAAAAACAAACTAGTGCCGCATGGGTCCCATCCTCTCCCTCGTCAATCCTGAGAAGCTTCGTCAATGTCTCATACTTGGTCTTAGATGAGATGAAAACCATAGACTTGCATGGATGTAGTACAGAGTCGACTATGACGCATATATATATTGAATATCAATACTGTTTCAGTCGTGATACTTATCCCCTCGCAGTTGTATTGCTCCATCCCTTCCTCTGGTCCCAGGACGCTAGCACAACACACAAATACTGTAATGATCAGGGACTAACAACTCTTTGACTGCTGACCAACTCCTCAAGCATATCGCTGGCAGCAGTCCTCAACTCTTTCACAGCAACGGCGACACCCTCTCCGTCACCCTGCTGTGAATCTCGCGTTTCTAGTGCGTCAACAACATGATCCACGCGTTCAATGAAGAACTTGAGATGGACTTCCCAAGCAATATAGTTCTGTGCAGCAATGTGCATATACCTCTTCGCGCCTTCCACAAGGACGGGAAGGAACTCGAAACAGTGTATGTCGTCGGTTGTAAAGCTGGCATGGAGCCATGCATCTCTCATCATGTCCCACCACTGCTGTCCTGTAATAGAATTGAGGGATGTAACCGACGACTGTTCACTGGGTGCGATCCGAAGGAGGATGCCAGCTAGGTAAAATGCACGTTGCCCGAAGCAGCCCTTTAGAACAATGCTAATGCATCGATCTATATGGTGATCCTCAACCAAATGGGGGTGCCAGTTGGAATTCCTCGCGAGGGCAAAGAGTAATTCGAGATAGCACAGGTCGCGCTGATCGTGGACGCATCGGTCAGGGCTATCATCGGAGTGTGTTACACCTGGTTGGGGACAAACTGCAGTCAGGATAGCGGGGGAGAACTCGGTCAAGATCATGTCCCGCAGCATCGCATCATCGATGGCATCAATCGAGACCATTTCTTCTCGGGCACTGTGGGCAAGGCGGAGAGCAGCATGACGTAAATGGACAGGCATGCTACTGCCCATACAGGCAATGAGGATTTTGAAGAACTGATGTTGTTTAGCAGGGCTGCAGCGCACTTTCAGGACGCCCAAAAGGACGAGGATATCAAATGCCGCTTCCTGGTCGTCGGAATAAATGTACTCCAGGTAGTCGACCAGCCAGTCGAAGTCTTCTGGGGAATGGGAATCACCTGTCCAAAAATACTGGCCATTCCACAAATCGGCAGGGTCCCGAGATACTTTGGCAGCATTGAACGTGAAGCGCAGTGCATCGTGCAGGGCACCAAACAGCTCCCAGGGAGGATTTTGTTCGGCCCGGGATGACCTCATTCGTGAGTAAATCTTCCCGCACACGTCCAGGTTCCGCATGTCGTGAAATGAACGATTATAGTAATGTTTGGCAGACTCGAGCACAAGACAAATGGCTGTGATCAGGTCGTATTCCCGATATGCGATGGCTGTGGTGTCGTCGCTGAGAGCACCTTCGTAACGTGTCCAGAGAGTAATTTCGAACTGCTCCAAGAGGACATTCGCAAATCGAGGCAGGGCAGAACTACACAATATCTTCGTTAGCCATAGCAGAAGCACCAAATAGTCGATGGCACCTTTTATCAATCCGAACTATGTCCTTCTTGTCAAACTGAACTCCGACCATGACGCAAGCAAGAAGAGCGCAATTGGCTATGATTTGATTCGACGGAGAGGATGTAGACGATAGCAGTTTTGATATCACCTCTGTGGCGAGTCGTTGCACATTTTCATTCCCTCGCTCAACGACAAAGTGGTAAGGAAGAGAATGTGACAGCCACTCCACGACAGAATTGGGACAATCATACAAGGAAACCCACAGAAAGTTGACATCGTCATCTTGCGGAAGACAAAGATTCATAGTCGTAGTAAGCACCGTCCTGTCGGTTTCATCCGTGTCCCTCAGAGTCATCTGAAGAAACGTGTCATAATCTCTTTTGCTGCAACCAAGAAATTCGCCACGGGTAGGATATGCTTGAAGAACGCGGCCACAATATAAATGACTCATAGCCATTATACAAGCTGAGGCCTTCTCCTCCAACGACGGCATAATGCGCCCGTGGAAGCCGATGCAGCTCGTATAATTATCATACAGCTGATGCAGCATGTCTGGGACGTCAATATCTAGAGGCCATTCGACCTGTGGAACAAGGCTGGCAGCGGCAAGAAATACTTCAGGATCCGTAGAGGTCTCGAGCAGCCACTTGACGCTAGGTGCTTCCAGATTGCTGGTAGGTATGTCAGGGAGGGTGAGGGCGTAATCATCCTCTGACGAAATAACTGAATTAAGGTAGAGCGATTGTGCTTCTGAGTCCGCGACCTTTGTCGAAAAGCGCGGAACAAACCGCAGCCAGTTATGAAGCCTAGTGGTTAACTGTTGAAGAGATTGCCGTGCGAATATACCAATCGCATGTACAGGGCCTGGAGTGAAGTGAGCACTGAGTATCGTTGCAATAGTGGATAAGATCGTCACCTCTAATTACTCTGAACAATCGGGTCCATCTCGATCTAACTATACCAAGTAATCGTTCCAGCACGCCTGACATGAAATGGTTAAAACCTGTGGACATAGAAGAAGACATAACTCGCCGTGCAGCAACTTTGTGAGCTGCTGGAAATAAATGGAGGCTCGTTTGAACACTAGGCGTAGAACCCCTGTCATGTTGATTTAAACGGGGAACGACCACTAGAATTTAGCAAAATGATCTTACTGTCGATGCGCAACATGCGCAACATTGTCGATGTCGGCGTCTGGAATGGACAAGCAGGAGATATCAAACATGCCATCACCGTCAGGGAATAGAACAGAAATCCGAAGGCCGTCGTTGCGATGATGACCCAGGCGATGCTCCGCTGCTCGTACCACATATTGGCTCCGAGAGCGATTCCAAAGAGAAGAAGTGAGATCTGAAGTATCACGGGAAACGTTTGCACGACAGCATCAAAATACCATGTGACGATGCCGTCGAACTTCTCTTGCCTGCGCTTGCCTCGTTCCTCCTCCGAGCCGCGGCCATACCTGTTCGACTTGTAGTACCCCAGCCATTGCTTGCCCAGTACGGCCCCGAATGCAGCGAGCAAGCTCATGGACAAGCTTGTGTATGCGACCATTTGGATCCTCACAGCCGACGCAGATGGCGACCACGTAGATCCTGGGTCTACAGGAGCGGTGCCTGCCTCAGCGAGGTTGCCGAGTCCGATCTGTACGAGTTGCTTCAAAAGGGCATTCGTCGTGTCGCTGGGGTCGTGATTGAGATTGGACTCCATCGCGACGATGGAACCCGTGCTGACAGCCGAGAAAAGACCAGACTGATCAAATATCAGTCTCAATGCGCCGAAGATAAGAACGCTAAACTTACGAAGATCAGGACAATGTCCATGTCAGTGGTGTATCGCTCAAGGAACTCGCCGTCGTGTTCCTCTGCGACTCGTTTGTACACCCCCCAGAAACGAGACCGTTTGTCCTTTCCTATCTTCGACGCAATCGTGGAGTCCTGGAGAATGTCTAATACTTGCTTCATGACATTTGCTCTGCGTGTACAGTGTCGTCAGCTACGATCGCCTGACTTATTTTTTTTTCGCTCACAATTCGCTTAGAGTTGGCTGGTCCTTGTCTGCCACAACCTTGTCCCCCTTGCTGAGACAATTCAGGAGCATGTTTGACGACATTGTTGACAAGAACTCACGAAGCTAAATCGTCGACTGGTGGAACATTGGAAGTAATTTCTTGCTTGTGAGGTTCTGATAGCTGGGAAGGCCCAGCATTCGAGCTGCAGTTCTAGTAAGAAGTGGCGCAGACGCCCATCAGGGAAGAGAGACACTTGCATCCCTGGTGGCAGCTCCGCCAAAGGTTCAATATTTATCTTCTCCCTATCTTGCTGTTAGACGGGTGGCAGATTCCAGGAAGCTGCAACTTACTCTTCGATGGGTCCTACGGCGTCAATTTGCGAGGGAGGCTCATCGTTGTGAGTGAGCTGATCCTCGACGACGTCGGTGAGTGATGCTTGTGACATGAAGAGGTTATATCCCCAAGTGAAGCTAGCGAAATTGGGAAAGGTCTGGGGTGAGCAGACAGAGCAAAGTGGTGGTGCAGTAACACAGCAAGTCAGTTAGGCGCCTACGACCATGACAAACACGTGCTTGTGGGTGTTGACGCCGAGAGTGTTCACAGTGACTTGTGAGTGCCCCCAGCCCAGTGAACTGCGAGTCTACCCTCACCATTATGATGGTGATGGATCGCTTTGGGCCCGGTCTGTTATAATGTTTGTCGCATCGACATCATGGGTCGTGCGCACGTGCAACTTGAGGTTAGATTCAAGTTATAGACTACAAGTTTTCTCAGGCGTGATTGTAAAAGTTTTTGATTCTGTTTCGATATTCGAATAATGTTACAAGTTGTACACGTCGTGTGTTAAATTTATAAGTGATTCAGACTTTAACGAAGAAACTTATCCCAGTGGCTTTTAGCAAGGGATTTGAATGCAACATAATACTGCAAGGCGATGCCCCTGTATTTCGGTGCCTCCATGCCTCCATTGTGGTCACTGGCGACCTCGCATTTCCACACCTCAGTCCTAGCTGACGGATATTGACAGGAATTGACTGCATCGCTCAACGCTTTGGTGACGGGCACCAAGCAGAAGGTGGGGCGCGTCCCAATCATGGTGATGCAAGGCATAGTCATGGCATCGAGTGGGTGCAGGCCCCTCTCTTGCCGCTTGTTGTTGTTGAGCTGGTAGGCCGCAATGGCTCCTGGAATCATACGTGCTTCGACATTTGAGCTACCTATCTGCGTCTTGTCCATTTGTAGAAGAAGTAGCATGTCTGATTCCGTATCCCGCAAGCATACGCTTATCTGCGCAACTTTGCGGTTATAATCACAGATCAACAATGGGATCGAGCGTCGTCTTGACACGCAATACGGACCCATTGTGAAGCCAACTGTAATGAGAAGCTGACAAACGAAGTCGTCGATGCTCGACACACGAACATTCTGAACACAAAAATCTGGTGTGGTGGCATCATGAAGATACCGGAGAAAAAGAGACGTGTTGCGCGAGACATCAGGGTCAGGGCGCACGTCCGAGTCGGCGGTGGCGAGCGCGGGATCAAGGCCTGCCGCGGTTAGAGGTACATCTATCTCCTGGGGAAAGAATTGCTGTGATGGTACAGCAGTGACGGTTATGTTGTAAGCGATTAGCTCATTGACATCCCAGTTGCTGCTGGACTTTGCAGAACGAATAATATTGGCCATGTTCTCTTTCTCTTTATAGGGGTCAAACTTGAGTGTCAGAGAAATAAGAATGACCAATCAATGAAAATTCCTTCACCTAGGGTTGAGTTACGTCGCAGCGGCTGCGTGTTGCGTGCAGGAGGTGTGCAATGTGATAAATGGGCGGAAGCACAAGCTTAAGTAGCTAGAAAATACAAACAGAACAGACATAGTAGTAATTATTGATATGGCTGAGCGCTGAGTCATCATAGAATGTTCCCTAAGATCTGGATCTGAAGCTTAAGGACGACTAAAGCACAGAAGTGCGGTTGCGTACAGTGTTATGAATCTAGTTGGAATGTCCTAAATCCAAGAGTAGAGGACTTAAGATGTGTTGTTGCGTGTGCATGAGCTATGACTCGGAGGCGTTTTGCAACTCCGATGGCCCAACCATACTAGGTTCGAGACAAGTTCATATTTCGGTGTTTGCCCACACTCGAAAAAGGAAGTGCGACACCGCATGTAGAAAGCATACATCATAATAACTTACAACTTGACCAAGCACAAGGCCATCGCGTCCCCGACGCGCATCAAGCTTTCAAGACTTATTGACTACCAAGCACTTATGTAACTGTTTTACCTTCACCATCGTAGAGACATCCTCGAGCTATGGCAGAATGACAGGCAGCAGATATTGCAGTTCCCTCGCAGGATCCAAAGAAAAGGACAAGAAGCTAGACACCAAAGTGAATGATGAGAAGGACAGCGACCCGAAATAGTGAGTGTTAATCACATTAGCGAAATCAACATTAACTTGACTTATGTTTCCTAGTCGGAAAAATATGCACAGCTCAAATCCGAGCTGGAGATGCTCATGGAACGGTGAAAGGTGCGTGCCACTCACGATCGACGTAGAACAAGTAATTGAATTGGTAGCAGGAATTAAACACGTATCTCCACCGTCCTGCTCTTGAAACGCTCCGGACACTCATGAGAAAATGCACATCGTCCGTGACTTCCATTCCGAAGCCACTCAAGTTTCTACACCCACATTATCCCGGCCTGCAAGAGCTGTTCGAGACATGGCCCGCATTCGAAAACAAGGTGCGAGGGAAAGCCTTTCTATGTAACACGGGCTTATCATCTTGCAGAGTCTATTCGCCAATATTCTCTCTGATTACGCTATGAGCTACTCCGATATGGAACTCTCCGCTATCGCCTTCTTTCTGCATCTTAGCGGCAATCATGAGGCTCGGTGTAGCATACTCAGGATTACACCGCGAGGACTTGCTCACTCTCCTCCCTGCGGTCGTAAACGGTAGCGTGTCGACGGGGATCGCTGCACTCAGCGCGCTTGCACTGGGATTCGTGTCACATGGGCAAGGGCACGATTGGGATCAATCCTTTCTTCTCGGACAGGAACATCATGAATCGACTGGCTGTTGCGGGTTTACTGGAGACGATCATGGCGTTTACGGATGCTAAAGCCTGTGAGTACTCTCGCTCTGATTCATGCAAGCGGATCCTGATGAGCGCATATAGTCGTGCTCGACAAGTACCATTGGATGCTTTACTTTTGTGATTGCCATGTACTCTTGCTTCCTCATCACGCTCGATGAGAACCCCGAGAGCAAGCCTGTCACGGTTCGCGTCAGTCAGGTGAATACACAGTTTTCTCCTTTCATGTTGCCTGTGGGGTATCCTTATTCGTCACATAGGCTGTAGACTTCTTCGGCCAAACTGACAAACCACGCACAATATTAGGCTTCTAGACGCCTGTACGACTAGGGACGACAGAGCACGCAGAGTTGGCAACGGAAGAATCCATCACGTATGTACATGTTCTAGGGGGGCTTGTTATAGTACAGAAGAACCACGTCATGCTATCTGGACGTGCATCTTCTGTCAGTACTGTTCAAGGAATGCTCTTCGTCATGTTGTGAAAGAAGCTGACAGACTCCGTTGAACACACCAGAACACACCCCCGACTACCTTTCAATGTTAACTTCTCAGTAGAAATGGGGGCTGGTCAGAAATGCCTACACGCGCGTCATTGCGCTGCATCGTCGCTTCCTCAAGTCCAACTCTTCAATACATTCGAAAGTACTGCATCCCCCCCATTCTATCCAAACCGTTCGTCGTGGACAGTGAAACGAACATAGTTTCCTCGGCGACTTGCATATGCAACCACACGTCGAGGTTTGACGCTGGCATGAATCATGCTCTCGACCTTCCAACTGATTTCTTCACTCAGTCAATTGTACACAACATCGTCGAGAGTAAGAACATGAAGATACAATATCTACCTGCAGAGAATATGCTAATGTTTTATGACTTGCTACTGTAAACATCGTCCAAGAGCCGACAGAAGGGGTGTCCTTGTATATAGGAAAGTCACGGTAGGACGCTCGAATGCGCACAAACTTATGGTTCAGCACTGCCGTTCATCATCGGTCGACAGAAACGTACATCTAACATTGCCTCATGTACGTACAAGTACAATTGTAATCATCGAGAATGAGTCCATGGGGCTCGAATTCAAGTGCAGTTCAGGTACTCTTCGGAAGTGGGGTCTCTGCATACAGCGCCTTCATGGCCGCTGGAGGATAGCGATCCCCAACCACCCAATCAGCCTTCTCCGCAATAACACGTACTTCTTTGACTGATTCGGGACTCAACGACACGTTGATGGCACCGAGGTTCTCCTCGAGATACTGTGCCAGTCAAAACCATGAATACCCGAGGCTATATGGCTACTGACCTTGACCTTCTTTGTACCCGGAATGGGGATGACATCTTCACCTTGGGCAAGAAGCCACGCCAACGCGACCTGTCCAGCGGTAGCATTATATTGCTCGCCTACTCTCTTGAGGTCATCTGCCAGTTTTAAGATGTTCGGGAAGTTTTCCTTTGAGTATCTAACCAAGTACAGTTCGCGTGAGCCCCTACCAGGCACTGACATGACACGTACCTAGGAATCATCCTCCTGAAATCATTAGTTTCGAAGTCATCTGGAGATTTCTTTTTATCCGGTTAGTGTGCAAATCAGTTTTACTGGTCTGCGATACTTACATATTGTCCCGTGATCAAACCACGCCCAAGAGGCGAGTACGCGATGATTTTGATTCCAAGTTCGCGAGCCGTATTGAAGATGTTGAGCTTTGAGTCCTCGATGTCGAGTGTGAAAGGCGAATACTCCACTTGGACGGCAGCGATAGGGTGCACTTTCTGAGCACGGCGCAAGGTACCCGCAGTGCATTCCGACAGCCCGATATACTTCACTTTCCCCTGTCTTCCCAGCGATGACCATGAGCAAGGATTTAGAAACTGTTCGCTTACTTAACAAGTTCTGCCATGGCGCCCACAGTTTCCTAACTGATTTCAGAAAAATTCAGAGGGTCCACATGCAGAGACGTACTTCGATTGGTGTTTGGTGATCAGGTCTGCATGATGATGATAATGAAGTCTGAGTGACCTGTTAACACGCTAGGCGCACCTGTGCAAGTAGTAAAGGTCGATCTTGTCAACACCAAGCAACCTTTGTGATTTCGCAAATGACTCGTGGACATATTTCGGAGACCCGTCAACGCCTCTACCGTCAGATCCACTGATGATGATACCGAATTTGGTAGCAAGAAAGATTTTGCTTCGCTTTTCGGGGTTCAGCTTGAACCTGCGCTCCTGGATTGTGAGGGCCTATTACTGTGACAGAGTACAGTATGACGTACCATTTGCCGATGAGCTCTTCGCTGTCTCCATAGATATCGGCGGTGTCCCAGAAAGTACAACCGAGCTCATACGCTTTATCCAGAACCTAAAAGGGACAGTCATGAATTAATATAGCATAGCGTAGGCTGCAGGGTGCCCACGCCTCACCTTTAAGCGCTCCTCATCTGAACCAGTCTGACCATAATACGCTCCCATGCCCATGGCGCCAAAGCCGATGGCAGAGACATGGTCGGTGCCAATTTTGCGTGTAGGATACTGGGCCATGATTTTAGATATGACTAAGTTGGCGATAGTAGAACTCAGGAGAAAGAAATGGCTTTATATACCTCAGTCTGAAGTTGGCTTACTGATTCAACGAGTGACTAAGAGAGACACTGTGATACATGTGATGACGCAATCGATATTCGCGGCCGGACGGCAGCACCACCAGTAAGCCGACAAAACTTGCCACCAGTCCATGTACATCGTCTGTCCCTCGTTCACAAGTTGGTGCCGTGTCCATGCCAAGCCTTGGACCTTATATAAGCTCCAGGCCTCTGTTATTCCAGACGATACATGGAGATTCGATGATCGATGTCGATGATCCATCGATATCATCGATGATGGATTTGGGATAACGAGCGCGTAACGGTAAACAGGACTTTGCCGAGTCCGAGAAGACTTGTCAGCTGCAGCGTTTCATTTGTCAGAGCTACTGCATCATGTGGACAGTAGAATATTCTAATCGCCGGCACTAGCATGCCTTGTATTCGGCAATACTATGGAAGCTATTTGGAATTCTGCTGTGTCATCATCACCATTGATTGATAATACTATTGATGGACTCTCGCTTCCCTTCCTGACTCGGCTTTCTACAAATCCCTGCCAAGCTCGCCAATATTTTCGCAGACGACATCGCTATGCACGGCTTGCAGAACCCCGTATACATTCCTCTTCCAAATACTGACCGTGCCCCACCAGTCCCTCGCTCTTTCGGCCCTCAGGCCCAGGTCTGAATAGCTTCTACTTTACCGATTCCATTCTACATGCAAAGAAGGGCCTCGAGCAGCTTTGAAATAGCAAGTCCTACTCCAATCCCGCATATACAACTTCTTGGAGCCCTATATTCACATCGCATTTATCAAGAGTCAGAGGATTGAATTTTGTGCATGGAGATGCCTGTCGGGTCGGACACTATATGGAAACGGGTATAGAAACGTTCACCCAATATCGTCCATATATGCTACTTAGCATGCGGTACGCTTCATTTATCTACCTACTTTATTATTCTGACTACCCTTTCTGGATTTAATCCGGGTCTCAGATGCAGGCCTCACCTCGGTCCTCTCACAGATCGCACCCGCTACCGGTAGCGTATTATCTCCATCATTCGAAAAAGCTTCTAACGTCTTAGAAGTCCTCTCCAAAGTTGCATCCCTTGTGTATTAACTGAACGTAGGCAGGCAGGATCTCTCGGAAGGTATATACTTTGCAGGGGTCAAGCCTATCACGCGACTCGTATGTGTTGCATTCTTTCAGTTGAATCACACCAACAGCTTCTCGGACGCCCTCTGGAGAATTCCTGGACGAGGGCGGGAACGTATTACCAGCGCAGGCTCGACATCAACGTCAAAGCGCAACCACTGGCTCGGAAACCATTGTACGACGCGTCCTCCCAGAACACCGATGAAAACTTCTCAAAAACAGTTCACAAACGACGTTGCAGTAGAACGCCTCTGAAATCTAAACTTCACGAGCTGAGTCTAGGCACCCACGAACTGCATCGCGAAGATCGGCGAAATCAGGTGCGGGATTGCCTCCAAGGCGTCTCGAGGCAGACACAAAGAACATGGCTGTGGAGGCTAAAATCGATGAGCATATATACGCCCATCAAATACTTGTATTGAGCTAAAAACAAGCTAGTCCCTCATGGGTCCCATTCTCTCCCTCGTCAATCCTCAGAAGCTCTTTTTCAATGTAGATCATACTTGGTCTTAGATGAGATGAAAACCATGGACTTTGTGATACAAACTCGACTACGATGCATATATATATTGAATATCAATATTGTTTCAGTCGCGATACTCATCCCCTCCCAGTTGTATCGCTCCATCCCTTTCTCTGGTCCCAGGACGCTAGCACAACACGCAAATACTGTGATAATCAGGCACTAGCAACTCCTTGACTGCTGACCAACTTCTCAAGCATATCGCTGGCAGCAGTCCTCAACTCTTTCACAGCAACGGCAACACTCTCACCCTCTCCCTGCTGTGAATCTCGCACCTCTGGTGCATTAAGAACACTATCCGCATGTCTAATGAGGTTCTCGAGATCAAATTGCCCACCAACGTACGAATAGCTCTCCTGTGCGGCAATGCGCATATACCTCTTCGTGCCTTCCACAAGGACGGGAAGGAACTCGAAACAATGTATGTCGTTGGTTGTAGAGCTGGCATGGCTCCATGCACTTCTCATCAAGTTCCACCACCGCCACTCTGTAATAGAATTGAGAGATGTAACCAACGGATGTTCGGATGCGATCCGGAGGAGGATGCCAGCTAGGTAAAATGCATGTTTCCCGACGTGGTACTTTGCAACCATGCTAATGCATCGATCTATATGTTGATCCACAAACAAATAGAGGTGCCAGTTGGAATTCCTCGCGAGGGCAAAGAGTAGTTCGAGATAGCACAAGTCGCTCTGATCACGGGCGAAGCCTTCAGGACTATCATAGGAGGGTGTCACACCCGGTTGTGGACGAACTGCACTCAGGATAGCGGGGGAGAACTCGGTCAAGATCATGTTCTGCAGCTCCGCATCATCAATGGCATCGATCAAGACTATATCTTCTCGGGCACTGTGGGCAAGGCGAAGAGCAGCATGACGTAATTCGTCAGTATGCAAGCAGGTGACGAGGCTACTGAAGAACTGATGCTGTTTAGCAGGGCTGTAGCGTACTTTGATGACAAACAGGACTAAAAGGATGTCAAATGAAACTTCCTTCTCGTCGAAGCGAATGCACTCGTCGAGGTAGTCGACCAGCCAGTCAAAGTCTTCTGGTGAATGGGAATCACCTGTCCCTAAACACTGGCAATGCCACAATTTGACAGGGTCCCGAGATATTTTGGCAGCAGTGAGCGTGAAGCGCAGTGCATTTGGCAGTGCATTTTGCATTTCCTCCAACAGGTACCGGGGAGAATTTTGTTCGGCCCGAGATGACCTGATTCGTGAGTCAATCTTCCTGCACACATCCAGGTTCCGCATGGCGTGCAATGAAGAACTAGAATTATAGTAATCTTTGGCAGACTCGAGCACAAGACAAATGACTTCGATGAGGATGTAGTCACAAGATGCGCTGGCTGTGCTGTCGTCGCTGAGATCACCTCCATAACGTGTCCGGAGAGTAATTTCGAATTGCTCCAAAAGGGTATTCGCAAATCGAGGCAGGGCAGAACTATACAATATCTTCGTTAGTCATACCAGAAGAAGCACCAAATGAGTCGATGTCACCTTTTATCAATCCGAATTATGTCCTTCTTGTCAAACTGAACCCCGATCATGACGCAAGCAAGAAGAGTGCAATTGGCTATGATTTGATTCGATGGAGAGGATGTAGATGAGAGCAGTTTTGATATCACATTTGTGCCGATTTCTTGCATACCTTCATTCGTTCGCCTAGTGACAAAGTAGTAGGGAAGGGAATGAGACAGCCACTCCACGACAGAGTCGGGACAACCATACAAGAAAATCCACCCAAAGCTGTCATCGCCATCTTGCGGAAGACAAAGATTCATAGCTGCAGTAAGCACCATCTTGTCGGCTTTATCTATGTCCCGCTGAGTCATCTGAAGAAACGTGTCATAGTCTCTTTTGCTGCAACCAAGAAATTCGCCACGGGTAGGATATGCTTGAAGAACGCGGCCACAATATAAATGACTCATAGCCACTGAACAAGCTGAGGCCTTTCCCTTCAACGACGGTATAACTTGCCCATGGAAGCCGACGCAGCTTGTATAAGTATCATACAGCTGATGCAGCATGTCTGAGACGTCAAAATCTAGGGGCCATTCGACCTGCGGAACAAGGCTCGCAGCGGCAAGAAATACTTCAGGATCCGTAGACGTCTCGAGCAGCCACTTGACGCTAGGTGCTTCCAGATTGCTGGTAGGTATGTCAGGGAGGGCGAGGATGTGGTCATTGCCAGACCAAGCATCTAAATTCGGTCCAAGTAATTGTGCTTCCGAGTCCACGACCTTTGTGGAAAAGCGCGGGACAAAACGCAGCCAGTTATGAAGACCAGTGATTAGCTGCTGAAGAAATCGCTGTGCGAATGCTCCGATCGCATGTACAGGGCCTGAGGAGTGAAATGAGTACTGAGTATCTTTGTGTTAGTAGATAAGATCGTCACCTCTAGATACTTCAGACAATCGGTTCCATCCTGGTCTGAAAATGTCAAGCAATCGTTCCAGCATGCCTGACATGCAACAGTCAAAACCTGCCCACGTGGGAGAACACATAACTCACTGTGCAGCGACTTCGTGAGCTGCTGGAAATAACTGGAGGCTTGTTTGAATAGCAGGTGTAGAACCCCTGTCATGTTGATTCAGACGGGGAACGACTACTAGAATTTAGTAAAATTGATCTCACTGTCGATGTGCGACATGCGTAACATCGTCGATGTTGGTGTCTGGAATGGACAAGCAGGAGATATCAAACATGCCATCACCGTCAGGGAATAGAACAGAAATCCGAAGGCCGTCGTTGCGATGATGACCCAGGCGATGCTCCGCTGCTCGTACCACATATTGGCTCCGAGGGCGATTCCGAAGAGAAGGAGTGAGATCTGAAGTATGACAGGAAAACATTGCACGACAGCATCAAAATACCATGTGACGATGCCGTCGAACTTCTCTTGCCTGCGTTTGCCTCGTTCCTCCTCCGAGCCGCGGCCATACCTGTTCGACTTGTAGTACCCGAGCCACTGCTTGCCTAGTACGGCCCCGAATGCAGCGAGCAAACTCATGGACAAGCTTGCGTATGCGACCAACTGGATCCTCACAGCCAACGCAGATGGCGACCACGTAGATCCTGGGTCTACAGGAGCGGTGCCTGCCTCAGCGAGGTTGCCGAGTCCGATCTGCACGATTTGCTTCAAAAGGGCATTCGTCGTGTCGCTGGGGTCGGGATTGAGATTGGACTCTATCGCGACGATGAAACCCGTGCTGACAGCCGAGAAAAGACCAGACTGATCAAACATCAGTCTCAATGCGCCGAAGATAAGAGCGCTAAACTTACGAAGATCAGGACAATGTCCATGTCAGTGGTGTATCGCTCAAGGAACTCGCCGTCGTGTTCCTCTGCGACTCGTTTGTACACCCCCCAGAAACGAGACCGTTTGTCCTTTCCTATCTTCGACGCAATCGTGGAGTCCTGGAGAATGTCTAATACTTGCTTCATGACATTTGCTCTGCGTGTACAGTGTCGTCAGCTGCGATCGCTTGACTTATTTTTCGCTCACAATTCGCTTAGAGTTGGTTGGTCCTTGTCTGCCACAACCTTGTCCCCCTCGCTGAGACAATTCAGGAGCATGTTTGACGTCATTATCGACAATAACTCACGGAGCTAAATCACCGACTGGTGGAACATTGGGTGTGCTTCCTTGTACGTGAGGTCCTGACGGCTGTGAAGGCCCAGCATTCGAGCTGCAGTTCTGGTGAGGAGCGGCGCAGACGCCCATTAGGGAAGAGAGACGCTTACATCCCTGGTGGCAGCTCCGCCAAAGAAAAATATATCTCCTCCCTGTCTTGCTGTTAGACGGGTGACAGATTCCAGGAAGCTGCAACTAACTCTTCGATGAGTCCTTCGGCGTCAATTTGCAGGGGAGGCTGCTCAGCGTTGTAACTGAGCTGATCCTCGGCGTCGTCGGTGCCTGATGCTTGTGACATGAATAGGTTATACTTATATATTAGATCCCAAGTAAAGCTAGCGAAATTGGGAAGGGTTTGAGGTGTGCAGACATAGCAGAGTGGTGGTACACAGCAAGTCAGGCTACGAACATGATGGAACACGTGCTTGCGAGCGTTGACGCCGAGAGTACTTGTGAGCGCTATACGCGCTAGCGGAGGAACGCTCAGTATGCGTGAAACAATACTAAATTGATATATACCTAGCGGAGGAACGCTAGGATACATGAGCAAGAGTGAGATACGAGTGGGAAGAGAAATACACACCTCAGTATGCGTGAAACAATACTGAGGTGATACTACGAGCCAGCACGGTCTATATACGAAAGATAAGGTGAGCTTAGCTAATGAACCGGCGAAGGGAGTAGTGGAAAGATCGTATGGTCAAGAAGCAAGAAGTCTAGAAGACGAGTGCAGCGTATGGTGTCGATGGTGATAAGGACAAGAAGGTAATAAGATGTCTAAAAGGTAAATCACGTCAACAACCGTCAATAAGCGCTCCCAGTCAAGTGAACTGCGACTAGTCTCCCTGACTTACCAACATGATGGCGGTGGGTTGCAGCTAAGTTGGACTCGGTCTTTATGCGATGTTTGTGCGTTGTGCGCACGTGCAACTTACAGATCATGATATAGATAGACTTTGGATAAACTGCAAATTTTATCCTCAAATTTGAGACCATCGTTACTGAAAAGCAGTTTTTGGCTGTTTCGATATCTAAATAATGTTACAAGTTGTACACGTCGTATACTTATAAGTGATTCAAGTTTTAAGGAATAAACTTCTCCCAGTGGCTTTTCGCAAGGGATTTGAATGCAACATAATACTGCAAGGCGACGAGCCTGTATTCCAGTGCCTCCATGCCACCTTTGCAGTCACTAGCGACCTCGCATTTCAACACCTCAGTCCTAGCTGACGGATATTGACAGGAAATGACTGCATCGCTCAACGCTTTGGTGACGGGCACCAAGTAGAAGGTGGGGCGCAGTCCCAACCATCGTGACGCAAGGGCATGGTCATGGCATCAAGTGGATGCAGGCCCTTCTCTTGTCGCATGCTATTGTTGAACTGGTAGGCCGCAATGGCTGCTGAAATCATATGTGCTTCGACATTTGAGCGACCTATCTGCGTCTTGTTCATTTGTAGAAGAGGTACCATCTCTGTTGAACCAAGGTCCTGCAAGCCCAAGCTTATCTCCGCGAATTTGCGGATGTCATCACAGATTTCCAACGGGATCTCCAACCGTCGACACACGCGATACCGATGTTCTTCGAAGCCAAGAGTAATGAGAAGCTGACAAGCGAAGTCGCTAATCTTCGGCACACGAATGTTTCGATCATCAATGCACGGCGTGGTGGCAGAGCGCAGATACGCGAGAAAAAAGTGCGCTGCTGTCCGAGACATCTGACGCTGTACGAGTCGGCGGTGGCGAGTGCGGGATCAAGTCCTGCCGCGGTTAGAGGCACATCTGTTCCCTGGGGAAAGAATTGTTGTGATGGTACAGCAGTGACGGTTATGTTGTATGCGATCAATTCATTGTCATCCCATTTGCCGCATGACTTTGGAGAACGAATGATATTGGCCATGTTCTCTTTCTCTTTATAGGGGTCAAACTTGAATGTCAGAGAAATAAGAATGAGCAATAACAGAAAATTTCCTTCACCTAGGGGTTAAGTTACGTCCCAGCTGCGTGCATTACTTTGTGCAGGAAAAGTACAATGAGATGTGGAATGTGATAAATAATGCGCAGAAGTAGCTAGAAAATAACCAAGGCCGGGAAACCTCACGGCAGCTGAGTCATCGTGGAGCATACATGCCGACTGGGATGCCTAAGTGCAAATTGGCAAAAGGTGTATCTCCGCAGTGCGATGGTAGTAGTAGTACGACTCGGATCTAGATCGGCGTTTGAATCATACTATAGCCAGTATCGTCATATTGGTCATTCAAATATTACGACCCAAATGTGACTAGTTGACTATACCTATATCATTCGCACTATGTTTGTTCTACTCTTATTATCACATTTTTCAATCACGATCTGTTACCGAGCTCGAGTTGCATGAGACTCGGGTAACAGAGCTTACACGGAAAAAACTCAAACTCTCTATGACACCTAGTAGTGCGCTTCGACATGAGACAAGCCAATTTGTTAGTAAGGATAGCACATGAAGATGTCCCCGGGTCTCAGAGGGATGATACCGTCGGGCATTGAGGTTCAGAATTGCTAGTACTTCTCATACATGGCCGAAACTGCAGACCTGGAACCAAGCTAGTCGGAGCTCAGGTAAATGACCATTTGATGTGTCCTCGCCAAAGAGTACTGACGTCCTAAAAAAGGACAGACCGAAGCAATTCTGTGGTATTCGAGGGAGCACGCACTGCCACATAGAAATATATTTGTCACATGGAATACTCGTTCTCATTTAAAGTCGGTTATAGGTTTCACATTTTCGCCTCTTCGAAGTGTCCCACCCTTTTGAGCTCCCCGCGAGCTTGTTACAAGTATTGAACGGTCTGCAGTTCTTTCGACCCCACCCACTAGGCTATCATCAGTGTGCTTTGGGTCAGATTCGTGTCTCCTTCAGCCCGCGGTCTGCGTCTATCAATCCTGATCCGAACGCGCCTAGAAGGTCTGTATCTTAAAAGCCCGTATCTTATCCCTCGCTTTTTTTTTTTCCGCATTGTTGCTTCGAGTTCAGACGCGGCACCTTCCAGCCCTGCTCTGGCGGTGCTGGACCTTTCCTCTCAATCTCTCAACAATCTTTCTCTGTTAGCCTGCTTTAACAGATTCTTTTACTAGATCCATCAAATCTGTGAATTGGGAGCCTGACTCTCTGTCAGCTCGTCTTCCCTTCTCTCTATCTTGACATAACGCCGACGTACAAAGGCCAACCCTCATGTCCAACCTCCTTCCTACCACGAAATCGGCCAGTAACTGGATCTACAATTTGCACAATTCTTTCCATCTCCAAACGCACCATTGGGAGGACTCGAGCCAGCGCTAGCTACCGCCACGGTCAACACTATCGGTGTCTCAGAACAGACACACACGTTCCTACAGTAGTCAATGTCACAACGCGCGAGTCCAAGGTCGACGACTTCGCTCATTTTGCTCTCACCGTTTGCGGCTTCAAGGAACACGACTCACTCATACATGAAAGACACTGGATTTCTCTGTGGATTGGTGAGGAGAAGTCTGCAGAAGCAAATGTCTGCATGGTGGATTCAGACACAAAGATGATCCAGGTGATCGAAGAAAATAAAGCGGCGCGGAATATCCAAAGTCCTGAGCCACAGGTGATTGCAGAGGCCATCTCTGCATTCCAGCATAACAACCGCATTCGATAATCCATGGGCCTCCCCGCACTTATCCAGATGACCTTACCCTGCATCACAATGGTGGGAACGCACCCTACCTTCTACCTCATCCCCGTCACGAATATGCTGAGTAACGCTGTCCTCAATGGAACATACCCGCTGTCTCGAACAAGGGTGCGAAGATGCAGATGCGAAGTCGTTGGCGTCAGCGGTGGTATGGAGAACCCGGCATATAGGACTCATGCCCTACAATATTATGTCGCGTTCAGGGTCCTGGCCAAGAGCTACTGGGAGATGTTTTCCGTTTAATACCCCTCATGCATCATGTTTCATGTCGCCTTTGATTGTAAAACAAGTGATACCCTATCATGTATTCCCAATTTTCACGCACAACGGCATGTAATATACCTACATTTGCATCGTATCCTCCTTCTCCCACCCAGGGTTCTTCTGTAGTATAACAAAGCCCTCTAGAACATGTGCATACGGAATGAATTCTTCCGTCGCCAACTCTGCACGCTCTGTCGTCCCCAGTCGTACAGGCGTCTGGTGCGTCTGGAAGCCTGATATCGTGCGTGGTTTGCCGGCTTGGCCGACGACGTCCACAGCCTATGTAACGAATAAGGATATGCCGCATGCGACACGGAAGGGGAAAACTATGAACTCACCTGACCGACACGAACTGTCACAGGCTTGCTCTCAAGGTTCTCATCGAGCGTGATGAGGAAGCGAGGGTACATGGCAGTCACCAGGAAGTAAAGCATCCAATGGTACTTGTCGAGCACGACTATATGCGCTCATCAGAATACGCTTGCATGAATTAGAGCGAGAGTACTTACAGGCTTTAGCATCCGTAAACGCCATGATCGTCGCCAGTAAACCCGCAACAGCCGGTCGACTCATGATGTTTCTATCCGAGAAGAAAGGATTGATCCCAATCGTGCCCTTGCCCATGTGTACGAGACCTTGCGCGATGCGGACCATGAACAAACAATCAGGCTCCTTGTAGTAGTACCCCGCGAGCTGACGGAGCATCTGTGCAAGTCGTGCGTTGTTCGTGCCCGCACCCACGAGGCCCATTGCAAAGATAGCATTGAGTGCGACTGCGAGGTCGTGGTCGTGGCTGTATTTTGAGAGTGTATCGAGGACGGGGAGCTGTGGATTTGAGGCGCTGATGAGGCCGAGAGCAAGGGGGACAGATTTGCGGATGATGGGATCGCCGTAGTGCATCTGACAATGATACTCGTTAGTAAGACGACTGCATATCATTTCTCCCAAAAAGTTATACCAAGTGGTTGAATTGCCTCATGGACATCTCGGCACCAATATCCTCTCCCATGGCGATCATCGCAATACCGAGAACGGCGAACGATTGGAATGTATCGTCGGGTTTCTTGTCCTCTTTCTTCTCATCCTTGTTCTCGTCCTTCTTCGCCTCCGCACTCTCAGCTTGCTCCTTCTCCTTGAGGGCATCAAGGTGCTCGCCACACAAGTGCAGCAATCTCTGCACCCGCAGGACGTTCCCGGTGGCAACGAAGGAGCACACCTCCACAAGAATTTGCGCCTGCCTTGAAATCGGGTGCTGAATAGCCTTCAGCGTCTCGAGCGTGGCATCCGAAGCATCCTGCAAGCCTGTGACTCCGACTCAACACGTCTTCCAACGCAAAAAAAAAACTAGGAAAACGTACCAACGTAAAGCAGCGCCAACCCCAACGCCATAAATCGTCCCCACTTCTCGTCCAATGCCTTGTCATCTCTCTCCATCAGTGTCTGTAAGATCGTGCTCGTAATCTCCCCGTTTCCGCTACCTACAAACACGAATCCCAGTGCAAGCGCGCTGAGTGCAGCGATCTCCATCGATACGCTGTCGTCTGCGACTGCAGGAAGGAGGAGAGTGAGTAAGTCCTCGCGATGCGAGCCTGCGTATGCTACACCGAGCCCCATGATTGCGGCTATTTTGAGTGGGACAGATTTGTTCTCTACGTGTTCTGCTAGCAGTGCAAGGGCGGCGTCTGCTTCCGTGCGCACACCTGCATTCAGCAGGCCTGTGGCTAAAAATGCACCAGCCTAAATAATTAATAAGGATGTATCATAACACAGAGTAGATAATACCTTGATCCACTCTTCAGGGGAGTATGTATATCTGTCGATGTGGCTAAGGCCAACATCCGTATCCCAGAGGAGTCCAAGTCCAAGACTGGCTGCAGCGCTCATCATGCCTAGAAAAAAGTTGTCAGTATACCGGGTTCACGAACTGGTAGGGTAGTCACCATGGTCTTTGTTCTTGTAAACCCAGCTGCTGCCCTCTTCGGCTTCTACCATCAGTTTATCGTTACCAAAACCAGCGTTAACGAATGCATTGACAAATGTGCCTGCAAGGTTAGCACGAGCCGAGTCGACGTTGGCAGACAGCCCCGATCCTGATAATCATTCAGAAACAGACAACGAAAACAGCTTCAAAAACGCACTTGTAGTTTCCAGATGACTCTTGTAGACATCTTCAAGGCTCTTCGGATCTGCAACGCCCACTTCTTTCCCGAACTCCTTGAAATGTCTGCTGAGCTGTGTGTTGCTTAGACATTCTAGGATGTCTTCTGGGAAGTCATCTTCTGCGTCTGCATCTGGGTCTTCTGAAGCCGACGCTTTCAGCCATTCGATGGGAATTTGTGCACGTGCAAGAAGGAAAGCAAGCTGCTTCCTCATTATTCTGAGCAGATATGAGTGGATATCAATGCGCGTATGATACGACTCACGGGTTGCCAGATGCATTGAAATCTTGTCGAATGAGCGCAGCGTCATTGAGGCGGATAGCCACACCGAGAGCCTCGGGGAATTTGGAGAATTGGAGGTAGATCTTGTGTATCGTGCGCAAGAAAGTGACATCGTCAGGAGGTGGGAGGAGCATGACGCATCTATAAAAGAGATTAAAGACACGAGATTATATACAAGAAGGCAAACATACCGATCCATGTATGCACACACACGACCGAACGTGTTTGCATCCACGAGACTTGCTATCCTATCAACAATCTCGAGCTCCACGAACAAGTCTACGGCGTCTGGCTCGGCGTTGTGCCCTAAGAAGAACGTGGCGCATTCTAAGCCAAGGTTATGTAAGTCTTCGATGGTGCCAGGGACCGGAGCAGGCTTTGATTTAGGCGCGTCTGAATCAGCTTCTGCTGTGGGCAGGGGGACTGCCTCTTCACCCTCTTGACGGATGGTATACTCCTCTCCTAGTTCAGCAGCGAGATGACGAACGTATTCATGCCCCCAAGAACCAGGTTCAGAGATTTTGGATGTAGGAGGGAGGAGGGATGCAGAAAGAAGGCGATAGCGGAGGGTTCCTCGTGGTTCAGTATCAGAGTAGGTCATAGCAAGAACAGAGAGAATGTCGGCAAATAGACTCTACAAGATGATAAGCCAGTGTTATACAGAAAGGCTTTCCTCACACCTTGTTTTCAGATGCGGGCCATGTCTCGAACAACTCCTGCAGGCCGGGATAGTGTGGGCGTAGAAACTTGAGTGGTTTCGGAACGGAAGTCATGGACGACGTGGATGTTCTTATGAGTGTCCGGAGCGTTTCAAGAGCAGGACGGTAGAGATCCGTGTTTAATTCCTGCTACCAATTCAATTACTTGTTCTACCTCGATCGTGAGTGGCACGCACCCTTAACCGTTCAACGAGCATCTCCAGCTCAGATTTGAGCTGTGCATCTTCTTCCGACTGGGAGATATAAATCAAGCTAATGTTGATTTCGCTAATGTGATTAACACTCACCAGTTCCTCCTCCTCGTCCTTTACACCATTCGCTTTAGTGTCTAGCTTCTTGTCCTCTTCTTTCTTCTTCTCCTTTGGATCCTGTGATGGAACTGTAATATCTGCTACTGGTCGTTCTGCCATAGCTCGTGGATGTCTATAAGATGATAGAGCTAAAACAGTTGAAGTACTTGGCAGCCAATAAGTCTCGACGCGCGTCGGGGACGCGTCACGCACGATTCAGGTGTCACACATATTCTGTTTTGGGTATCGTGACATTATTATGTTCAATTCCGTCACGCTGGCTACCCACTATAATTGGTTTGTCTAACTTCACTCTCAGTGGGCGTCTTCGGTGTCGGTCACAGTGACAGTCGCGATGCGTCTTTCATGTGTTCATTAAAAAGGCCTCAGATCTCAGATATTATCGGATACTCGTCGGCGATTCTTGCTTCGGCGAGTCTCGTTTTCTAAGGATCAATATCATCCCTTCACGCCTTGGGCTTCGTATACTCTTTTGCCTAACGATATTTCCGCGGTTGTGACCTTCGCATCCGGCTGTGGAGATCTTGTTTCATCCATGTCGCAGGCTTGCTATGCAGGACCAGTGGCGAGGCATGGAAATGAAAATGTCGGGGTGTACGTAGGGTTTTGCGGAGGGGGTTTAGCATCACTACGCGTTGGCAAGGGGTTCCAAAAATTGTGGTACACGAAGATGAGTAAATCAGATGTCTGGCAGCAGTCATTTCTTAAAGCAAATAGCATGCATGTACACGAAGTGTTCTGTGATGTCGAAGAGACAATATAGTTTAAAAATAGAATGCTAAATGGTTTACGATGGACATGTCATGTGCACCCGTAAACCGACTCCCCTCATGTGGTACGCAGATATATGTTCACTCAGACTGAACCATGCTGCGTCATTCCCGATTTGAAGCGAGAACGACACAGATCCGAGTCGAGAAGTTCGATTGATCAATTAAAGATCATGCTGTTTTGATGTGCCAGTATGTATCATCCGTAAAGTTTCGAATCCACATGCTTGACTTCCGCCTATACTAACAGCATTTAGCAGTAGCAACCTGTAGGAATTTAATGCGCCCGACTCGGTTGACACTCTCACTGACGCTGTTGCATATCAATCAAACTTAAACGCTCGATTACTACTCACGCAATGCAGTCTTACGCAGTGGAGTGGAAACAGGACAGGTCGGTTGAACTACCATTCCAGACCCATTTATATCCTTTGATGAGCATACGAGGGATGAGAATATGGAGGACAGTCGCTATCATATAGGATTCCTCAGATGTACTACTCAATTACTTTTCCAGGTATGGAATTGAAACCCATGAGTGAGTGAGATGGGGTTGTAACACTTGTCCTGGCATTTTTGCTGATCCTTGGATAAGCATCGCGCCGGTGCCAGCGGAGGAACGTCTCGAGATTCGGTGGTATCAATTGTTTTTTGTTTGGTAATCCTCTTGCATGAATATCTTGGCGTGCGCTTTTATTGCTGTCTTAAATCTGATACGTTTCCCTGATCTGCCTAACACCTGCAGATTTGGTTTTGGGGCTGCTGGCCCTGCTTTTTTTCCCCTGGGAGTTCGCGACATCATCGTCATTGTTCACCTGGTGTAAGTCGACAATTCACAAAATCTCAATCTGCAGCGATTGACCTTCAGCTAGATGTTGTTTATTGCTAGGATTCTTGTGGGTTCTTCTGTTCTTCTCTGCACGTTTCTGGGGACTTTATGATGCACTAGTGCCGTTTTCGGTCCAAAGCTTGGCATGTGAACTATGATACAAGCAAGGTTCTCATGGGGGTAAGTTATTTTTCCAACTGCCAGTATCATTCCCTGACGGATGTCAAGGTATTTCGGTGCCATCGTACCGGCTGTCTTCAATATTTTCTCCTTGGAAGGCTTCCTCATTTTGAACTGCATCATGGGTGAACAAACGCTTGCAAGCCTGTCTTCTTGTCTCGATGAAACCCTTGGTATCGCCATCCTTGATATCATATCCCTTGTAGTATGCCTGAATTCTTCCCGCTGCACCGAAAATGACAGATTTCGAAGTTGCTTTCTATGAATACCGCGTTATTCATTGGTGGGACCACTCCAACACCAATAATCCAGAATTCTGACCGAATGTCGACCCATAGGTACGAAAGTGTCGCCTGGATCCCGAATGTGATTGCATTTATCGCCATGTTGGCTATAGGTTATCCGCAACTACGCGAAAACCTATCAGCTCCCGTCCCTCCGGCAACACCTGCTAACATCATCTCTTTTGCATCGTTTCTTGCATCTAACATTATTGGCTGGTGTCCCGTAATACCTGACTATGGCGTATACCATAGCCCTGATGCTTCGTCGTGAGCTGTCCCTGGTCATTACCAGGGCCGTTCACTTGCCATGTGATTGTCCTCAAACCCAGCCCTGTAGCCAGCTGGCATGTCCCACCAAGCGCTCAAATGGTAGGAAAGATAAAATCCTAGCCACCAATGGAGAACCTGACCTCAAAAACATGGCTACACCCACAGTTTCAGGCTTCGTTGGCGCTGTGATCATCCGTCCCGTCGTCGTGGCTATAAACAGTCTTGTGCTCGCATCCCTCATGTCCTACGTGATCGCTGAACGGCTTGACTGGAGGCCGGTAAGCTCTCTGTTTGTGTATTCCAGTCCTTACAGTCTTCTGATTGAATACTACAAAAGATCACCATATGCGTTACATGCGACATTCTTGCCGTTGGCATTGACCACTTTAAGGACCAAAAAATTGTCATTAGTGCATGCGGCGCAGCTGTTGAACAACGCTTCGCCTCCCTGTTATTTCTTACCCGCATGTTTCTGGTCCTGAATGCATCGCTGCTTGTGATCGCTTTATGTCAAGGTTCACCAAAAATGACTATCATCACCGCAATTTTTACTACCCCCGCTTTCCTGTGGGCGACGCCACTCAACCCTCGGCGAATTGGTGTGGTCATCCAGAGATTCATACCTGCAAAGCATGGTCAAGAAGTGGGGTATAGTTCATCGATACCTGGTACTCCATTCATCATCAAACGAGTTCCTGGCATGAAGGCTATATTCAACGGCATCATCCGAGGGTATGTGATATTGTATCCTGACGGTTTATGGGTTTTAATTTGAAGAACTTAGTTGTGGGATATTTTTCGTTGTTCACTCAGCACTGCAGGCATCGTGGAAGTCAGACTTTAACGCGCTCCCATGGAGGATCATTGAGATTGTCATTTGGTCGACGGTCAATCGCATTATTCATTCTGTAAGGCAGTGTTCTACAAGTAATGGAACTCCCAACTCACGTAACTCCGAAAGGTTATGACAGACGTGCGTGACTTTGATGAGGACGAGAAGGCTGGAGTCCCCACCATACCCGTCCTTCTTGGATCCCCTCTCAAGACTCGGATTCTCTTAACTGTCAGTCAAGCAGCCGTTCTGATAGCCTCTCTCGGCAACCCATACATTTTAGGGAGTTCCTGCTTCATGATTGCTCTTGTTTGGATCCTAGGGAAAGTTTCCCCGAAAGTTTCCTTCTTCCTGAGCATTCACTCGCAGTCGATATTCATTGTTATGTACGCTGTCATAAAATGTTGGTCTCTCTAGACTACTGTTACTGTTATCTTACGAAGGAAGAGAGGCTCGTCGAGACGGTAAAGGGGACTCTCGGCACGCTTGTTTGCCAGTGTGTTTATTTGTCGTTTCCGGTGGTGTCCGGTCCTGTTACAAAATCGGAATTCCAATTTCTGTTCTCATTTAGTTCCCACTTCTCTTTCTTCCCCTTTCCTCTCTACAAATCTCCAGCTCGTGTCCATGACCGGCCCTCGAGTCGAAAGCATGAGGGACTGGCAAGCGAGCTCTCTCACCGGCTTCGTTTACGAATATCTTGCAACAAGGCTGCGAACAAAATAGGCAAATGTCTCACGGTCTCTGTCTCACTCATCGCCCAAGACCACGCCATAGCTAGTCAGCGTCGAACCATTTTTCAATGCTCGACTCAATTTCGATGCTTTTGCCACTTGTTTCGCCTTTGATCATCGCCCTGAACCTGGCGCATTAGAATCAAATGATACAATTGCTATCACATGATACAATTGCTATCACATGATATCAAGGGTATGGTGATGTCTTTGCATACGAGGATCGATTCATTGACATGGTTCATCGGTGCATTTGTGCGTTCGCGTGCCGCATTATCATATTCCCGCCAATTTTTATACAGGGTCGAGTGTCTTTGTTTTTGTACATGAGGATTACCTCGACGATACGTCGGGTGTGGTCTCTCGGTGCATTCGTGCGTTCGCTCGTGCGCGTGCGGCATTGCCCTCCTCGACCCTCCTACCCAAAAGCTATTTGAGACACCCATGACATTGGCCAGACCATTGCATAACACACAAACTTGCACAACCACGCAACCATATCGTTGATATTAGAACCGCATGTGATCACCAGGGTCAAGTGGCTTTGTCTTTGTATACGAGAACCATTCGCCTTGATACGTCGGGCGCGGTTTATCGGTGCATCGTGCGTTCGCGTGCGGCATCGCCCTCTTCCCGAATCCAAATGCATTTTAAACAGGGTCAAGTGGCTTTGTCTTTGTACACGAGAATCGTTCACCTCGATACGTCGGGCGCGGTTTATCGGTGCATTTGTGCGTTTGCCTGTGCACGTGCGGCATCGTCCTCCTTGACCCGCAAATCCAAAAGTACATGACACACTCATACCATTGATGCATACCGCACAAGCTTATATGACCCAGTCATATCATGACCAAATCAGTGCCTGCGCACAAAAGCCACGCAACCATCCATGGACCAGTGTATAGCTCCGCAGACTGATACTATGCAAGCCCATCACAGTCCGTTACCTATCCGTATAGATGAGACGAAACATGATGCATGATGCGTTGCTCATGGGGCAAGTTGTGGACCAAGCATACGATGATGACCTTGAAGGAACCTGTCGATACGACCGTGCTTCACACGGCGCGATTCACCCTGGGCTTTTGAACCGTTATCTGATATCGGACTTGTGACTTATGATTCACAGACTATTGTCATCGAAAGCTCTTTTATGATGTCAAGCTGTTGCTATACGCCGTTGTCTAGCTTCGACTCGAATCTCACTTCACTCTTGATTGTTTTAGGCGTATGTGGGGTCTATGTGTATCCATGCAGGGAGGTGGGAAGCCCGTTGGGAACATATCCTGTCAAACCCAGTTGCCAGTAACGGAATTCGTCAAAATGCATCAGGAACTTGTTGATGTTATGTAACCCACGCTACGCATCGCTTTGGAGTCCTTCATGTGTTGTATGGTCGTAAGTTATACCTCTGTTCTAATTCCAACGCTCATTGTACGTTTTGCAGAGGCTCGTCGCCTTTGACTTTTTGGCTGCTCTCCGCCAGCGCGAGGCAGATTCCATGGCTTTATGGGTCTGTCGTCTTCAACTGGAGCCCTTGGGCCTGTTGATGATTCTCGCACAATCTTTTGCCCCCCTCCCTTCTTCGTGAAGGGTCTTCATCTGGAATACGGTTTCGCACCGTTTAGATAGAAGGTCTCATTGTCGTGTATCTTGACACTGTATTCGTTCACGTATGAGAATGTAATATTCATCCCGGTGGTGTAGCCCTCCTTTCGTCTTCCGTGTGCCTACGCTGTGCATGTGAGTTTGAATGCACTTGCGACACTATACTGCAAGGTACTTTGATGCACTCAATATTTCTGAGGTATCAGTTACCCGCCATTAGCAGAGCCTGGTCGTGATCAACTGCGCAATGTACCAGAACAGCCAATATATTTTTATATTCCGAAGAATCTTGTGGCAGGAGAAGCGAGAATGAAAGTTCCGAAAGCATTTTTGAGATCGAGCAAACCTGCATCCATTGCTGAACCGTCCTCACGCGCGTGCACCTGTCAAGAATGTACTTAAGCACCGTTGTAGGATCTTTAGCAACTGCTGCGGAGCGATGCGAGAAAAATATTTTGGAATGTGTATCGGGGATGGCACTGCGACGAGAACTTGAGTATTGTGATCGATTACTATAGGTGATAGTATCATGATGTACCTCCGTAGCCAATTTCTCAAGGACATCCTAAGAACGCAGCGTGATGAAGGTGTCTGGAATGTTCTGATACATCTCGTCGATGCTGCTAGCGTGTGTCAAACAACAATCATGCACGGAAGTAAATGTTAAACCTTGAGCCCGCCCAAGTTTGAAGTACCACATTCATCGGTTGTGCCACCAAAAGAACGAAAAGTGGAAACCAACGGCGCCTACGTAACGCTCGAAGGCGATATCATATGTGTAGCATCGAGATGAACGAGACTAGGCGAGCACACAGACGCACTTCAGCAGACGCGTTAGGGTCGGAGATGGATATGTTCTGAATGGTTGTCCTGGGTCACGACCTGCTCTCACGGTATGGCTGTACGATCTGGGGAGGTCTGGGAGTGTAGTATACATGACGGACGTCATCTATCCTTTCCTGATACAGTTCCTCCAGCTTCCTGTATGTCGGCTCAATGACCAATGCCAAGAAGTGCTTGACTGAGGTTTGGTCGATGTCATCCTTGTTGGAAGACCATAACCCTGAAACTGTACTAGGGTGAGTACATATCCCGCAAAGCCTCTTCTCCGAGTCGTTCTTGTGTTAGATGTAAATGGTCTTAGCTCGCCGAACGCGTTACGAGGATGAAGGCCAAGCTCTGCAGCCGCCCACATACTAGTGACGCGTGCGGCTCGACGATATCAAATGGGACGTCCCACTGCTCGAATTTGGCTTCACACAAAGGTTGATGGATGATCATAGTGAGTGAATGAGAGAGACAGAACCCTAACCCTAGGGTCACTTGGCACTTGATCTTACTTCCTTACATAAAAGTTTTACTAGTACGTATACATACATACGGAGACACCCTCACGAACTTGAACAACCTCGGCGTCAACAATGTCATGTACGTGTTCGTGGTTATGGTGACCCCAGGCACCCGACCAGCGAGCTTGCTGTGTACCATCGCTTATTTTTGTGCGCTCAGGCTCTTCCCCATTCCACTGGCTTTTACTTTGCGTTCAGATATACCTTTAGTTGTCACACTCTCATGTCAAAGCCATCAAGCACTGACAGCGCCGAGGGTCGGCGCGCCCATCCCGATGAGCAGCCTGCCCGGGAGCAGGATAATCTGGGATCCCCAGAGAATTCAGAGTAAGTTGCGGCTTCTTGCGATCTGTTACTCGTATAATAACAGCAAGATAGGGAGCAGGGTAATGGCGGACCTTCAGTGGTGGAGCTATCATCAGGGATGTAAGTGATTCTTCCCTGATGATTTTGTGCAACTCCTCACCAGAAACTGCAGCTCGAACACTGGGCCTTCCCAGCCATCAGGACCTCACGAACGGGAAAGTGCTTCCAATGCTGCACCGGACGGCGATTTAGCTCTGTCAGTTCCCATCACTGGCGCTTTTGATTTTAAACCAACTCATTCGCTGTCTCAGCCAGGCAGAAAAGGTCGTGGTGGAGAAGGACCAGCCAAATCCGAGTCTCAGCGAATTGTGAGTAAAAAAATTAGCCGAGTCATCACAGCTGACACCCACACTCAGAGCAAATGTCATGAGGCAAGTGTTGGACCTTCTCCAGGACTCGACCATTGCGCCGAAGGGTGGTAAGGATAAACGGTCTCGTTTCTGGGAGGTGTACAAAAGAGTCGCAGAAGAACACGACGGTGAGTTCCTCGAGCGATACACCACTGACATGGACATTGTCCTGATCTTCGTAAGTTTAGTGTCCTTATATTTAAGGCGGTTTGAGACTGATGTTTGATTAGTCTGGTCTTTTCTCTGCTGTCAGCACGTCTTTCATCGTTGCGATGGAATCCAATCTCAGTCCCGACCCCGGCGACACCACGAACGCACTTTTGAAGCAACTGGTGCAAATTGGACTCGGCAACCTCGTCGAGGCGGGCTCCACGCCTGCAGACCCAGCATCTACGTGGTTGCCGACCGCGCCGACTCTATGGATCCAAACGATCGCATATGCAAGCTTGTCCATGAGCTTGCTCGCTGCATTCGGGGCCGTACTTGGCAAGCAGTGGCTTGGGTACTACAAGTCGAACAGATACGGCCGCGGCTCGCAGGAGGAACGAGGCAAGAGAAGTTCGACGGTCTTGTCACATGGTATTTTGATGCTGTCGTGCAATCCTTTCCGGTCTTACTTCAGATCTCCCTTCTTCTCTTTGGGATCGCCCTCGGCGCCAATCTGTGGTACGAGCAGCCGAGCATCGCCTGGGTCATCATTGCAGCGACGGTCTTCGGATTTCTGTTTTATTCCCTGACTGTGATGGCATCTTTGATATCTCCCGCTTGTCCATTTCAGACACCAACATCGACGATATTACGCATGTTGCGCACCGACAGTAAGATCATTTTTCTGAATTCTTGTGGTCCTTCCCCGTCTGAATCAACATTGCAGGGGCTCTACTCCTGGTGTTCAAACGGGCCTCCAGTTATTTCCACCAGCTCATGACGTCACTCCATGGCGAGTCATGTCTTCTTCTATATGCATTGGTTTTGACCGTTTCATGTCAGGCATACTGCAACGATTACTTGGTATCGTCAGACTCGGATGGACTCGATTGTCTGGAATATTTACAGGTGACGATCTTATCTACTATTACAACGATACTCAGTGCTCATTCCACTTCCCAGGCCCTGTATATGCGGTAGGTACATTCACACAACGATCTCTTCAGCAGTTAATCATCAGGCTTCATAACCGGATGTGTTTTATTGTTCCGTGCTTGTCGACAAAGGTCGGGGACTTGGAAGCACACTCGCTTGACCTGCATTTTCATGTTTCGTCGGACGATGAATACGCCCTCACCTTCCCTGGCACACCCACCAGCCATCTCGAAGCACTTAGCATTAAGTGGCTGCTTGAGACCTCTACGGATCCTGGAGTATTTCTCGCCGCTGTCAGCCTTGTTCCTCAAGTAGAGTGGCCCCTGGATCTTGACGTCTCAGACACGCTGCATCAGCTGTATGATGTCTTAATTAGCTGCGTGGGCTTCTATGGGCAAATTATACCGTCGTTAGAGGAGAAGGCCTCGGCTTGTACAATGGCTCTGAGTCATCTATATTGTGGCCACGTTCTCCAGGCATATCCTGCCCGTGGTGAATTCCTTGGCCGCAGGACAAGAGACTATGATACATTTTACGATATGACTCTGGGCAACATAGGTACAGCCAACAAGATGGTACTTGTCTCGGCTATGCAACTTTGTTCTTCGGAAGATGACGATCTTGATCTTGGATTTTCGTGGCATACTTTTTGGTTACACAAGTGTCCTGACTCTGTCCTTGGGTGGCTGTCGCATTCTCTTCCTTATCACTTTGTCACTGGGCGAGTGAATGAACATGTAGAAAAAATCGCCACAAAGGTGATATCAAAACTGCTATCATCTACATCCTCTCCGTCGAATCAAATCGTAGCCAATTGCACTCTTCTTGCTTGCGTCATGATCGGCGTTCAGTTTGACAAGAGGGACATAGTTCAGATCGATAAAAGGTGCCATCAACTCATTTGGTAGTTTTCTGCTATGATTAACAAAGAGATGTTGTACATTAGTTCCGCTCTACCTCGACTCAGCGAGTCCCTTTTGGTGCAGTTCCAGAAGGTTCTCTGGGCATGGGATGAAGGACAACTTGATAAAGATAGCACAGGAGCCGTATGCCGGGCATGGAAGCTTCTCGACATTATCTGTCGCATCATCGAGCTTGTCAGACCTCACTTTCTTTCTTCATTTCACATCATGCAGAATCTGGACGTGTGCAAGAGGATTTATTCACGTGCGAGGTCATCCGAACAAAACGATGCCTCAGTTTCATTAGCAGCTCTACGAAAGGTACTGAACTTCACGTTCGCTGCTACCAACGTATCCCGTGACCCTGCCCAGTTGTGGTACACCGGCTTGTTTTTGCAAGGCGGTTCCCACTCACCAGAAGACTTTGACTGGGCGGTGGACTACCTCGATTTCATCCATTCCGACGACCACGAAGCGGCATATGACATCCTCTTGCTACTGGGTAGCATGGAAGTGCGCTGCAGCTCCTCTAAACAACATCTGTTCTTCGAGAGCCTCATCGCCTGCATGGACGATAACATGCCTCAATATTTACGCCATGCCGCCCTCCGCGCTGCTCACAATGTCCGAGAAGAAATTGCCTCGATTGATGCCATTCATGATGCAATGCTACGGAACACGGTTTTGACCAAGCTCTTCCCCGCTATTCTGTCCGTGCTTTGTCTGCACCCAGATACAACACCCACAAATGATGGTCCTGACCACTTTTTCTATGAAAGTCGCGACTTCTGCTATCTCGAACTGGTCTTTGCCCTCGCGGGAAATTCCGACTGGCGCTCCCACCTGTCTGGGGATCGCCATATCGATCAGTGCTTTAGCATGATTCCAAGGTACTGCGATCCCGAGTACGGCAAGCATGCCTTTTACATAGCTGGTATCATCCTCCAAATCGCACCTGAACAGACATCGGATACATCGCTCAATTCTGTCACAGAGCAGCAGTGGTGGGACGTGATGAGATGTGCATGGAATTACCCTCCCCATGACTTTCACAACACACGCAATATTGAGCTCCTTCTTGTCCTTGTGGATGGCACCAAGAAGTATATGCATATTGCTTCGAAATCTAACCTCGAGCAGCTCATCGGAAGAGTAGATTGGTTTCTCAAATATCTGGAGCGGGACATGCGATGGCAGAGGCGGCTACAGGAGTTGCGTCTGGAGACGGGGCCGGAGATACAAAGCTTAGAGCAGGGAGAGAGGATTGCCATTGTTGTGAAGGCGTTGAGGTCTGCAGCCAGCGACATGATAGAGAGCTTTGGTCAACAATTATCAGTGGCTGGCTAATTGTCCACCTAAAGCGAATCAGTATTGGCCTCGCCCGCGACATCTATCATCTCCTTCCTCATGCTCCACGACATTTTACCCTTCGAGATGATCGGTTCTTGATAGGCCGTCAGCGTTTCCCTAGCGTAGGGTTCGCAGTCTCAGCCTTCGTTTTCTGGGAAGTCCGGGCGATTGATGGGGCTTTGAGACGTCACTTCAGTAATGTGATCGAGTAGTATGAGTAATACGTACCTCGGTAGCCAATATCTCGAGGACGTGAAAGTAAATCCAGCGCAATGGATGTGTCTGGGATGATTTACGACGATTTATTGATGTTAGGCTAGGGTGCGTCGAATAAGAACCATACACAGACGTAAATGTCAGGTCCTGTGAACACAATACTCATCAGTTACGCCACAGAAAAAGGCTTGAAGATGATGGGACACATGCAGCACTCGAGAGTGGTCGAGACTGAACAAAATTGGACGGGGCACTTCAGCAGGCGCGTTGGCGGCCTTAGGGTGACATCGGGGATGAATACGTTCTGAATGGTCATCATGAGCTGCCTTGAGGTAGGGCTGATCCCCGGTAAGATGATGTTCAATGACAGCATTGAACTTCGTTTTAGTTGTCATTGAACATCATCTTACCGGGGATCACAGCCTCTCTGAGGAGCGAAGAAGCTTGTCGTTTGTTGAGTCAATCCGAGTCACCAATGTCAAGTCGTCAAACGTGTTACGAAGACGAAACTGCTAGAGCCTGCATTCAAGTTAGCCAGCCCATGTCTTAGTAACGCGTATGAATTGATGATGCAGTGTCAAGTAATGAAGTCAAACAAAATGTGGTTGCGCTGCTGGAATTTCAAGATGGCAAGCGTGCTCAAATGATTACGAAACCCTAACCTCAAATTTGGTTTTCCTTATCTTCACAACTTGCAACGATCAAAATAAGGTTTACAGCATATCCCGGAGGATCTTGCTGCATTTCTACTGCAAGGACAGCCAGTTCCCCATTGTCAACCTAAATCCAAAGGAGCCATGACTCGGTCAAAGGTCTGTAGTCTGTGATTAAGAAGTTCTGTCTCGAACCATACTCATGGATGAATTCCACTATCCTCCATTTCTTAGAAACGACAGCGAGGAGGCCGAGCGGGAAAATCGCGTGACGACGACGATCGCGGTATGCTAGAAAAGAGCGACATGAAAAATGAGCGCTTCAGCTCGTATTACAAGGCTCAGGACATCATCCCTGAGGAGGAATGGGATCAGTTCATGGAGGCATTGAGACGTCCCTTACCTACCACCTTCCGCATCGCCGGAAGTCGAGAGTACGTGCCTTTATGTTCTCCCGTGCCAGCTTCAATGACGAAGGCGTTAGGATTGCTCATGCTCTCAATGATGCTATCAAGAAAACTTATGTCCCGTTGTTGAGCGATGTTGTTTTTGAGGGTGATGTTGTACCGCCTCCATCTCGGATTCCTTGGTGCGCCATATTCCCTATGTATGTAAAGATGTGTGAGACTGATGTTGTGCTTAACCAGGTATCCAGAAGACCTAGCCTGGCAATTCAATGTGTCCAAGAAAGTCCTGAGGAAGCAACAAGCGTTCAAAAAATTTCACTCTTTCCTTGTACACGAGACCGAAGTCGTACGTGATCCTTCACCTTAAGTTATGTGGTCTATGATGAATGTAACAGGGCAATATATCAAGACAAGAGGCAGTCAGCATGCTTCCACCGTTGTTCCTCGATGTCCAGCCGCACCATAAGGTAAGGTATGCCGGGCTGCTTCCGTAATGTTGAAAGTACAAACCGTAGCTTGGCAGGTCATTGACATGTGTGCGGCCCCTGGTTCAAAGGTAACACATTTCTTACGCCACTCCGTTCGTCTTTGATAGACCTTAGACAGCGCAACTATTGGAAGCTCTGCATGCGCAAGACACTGCAACAGCAACTTCTATTCCTCCGGGACTTTTGATAGCGAACGACAGCGACAGCAAGCGGGCGCATCTTCTCATTCACCAATCTGCTCGTCTTCCCAGTCCGGCTTTCATGGTCACGAATTTGGACGCGTCAATCTTCCCTGTCCTAAGACTTCCCGTGACAACTGCGGATCCTCGCTGTGGCGTCAAAAAGTCCTCGAATCAACTCCTGTTCGATCGCATTTTATGTGATGTGCCTTGCAGTGGTGACGGCACGCTACGAAAGAATATTGGGATCTGGAAGCGGTGGCAGCCTATGGATGGGAATGGCCTACACAGGTCTGTTCAGTACCTGCGCTCATACTTCATCAGCTCATTTTAACAGCCTTCAAACCCGCATCCTGCAGCGGGCCATGCGCATGCTGGAGCCTGACGGTCGCATTGTTTATTCGACTTGCTCGCTTAATCCCGTCGAAAACGAAGCAGTTATAGCAGCTGCTTTGAACTCTAATCATGGTGGGTGATTTCAGGCCGTTATGGATCGATCATTACAATATGTTGACGCATAATATAGATTTCCAGTTAGTCGATGTTTCCGCGCAGTTGCCGGAGCTGGTCAGACGACCGGGCATCAGTTCGTGGGCTCCCACCGTCAATCGCACAATAAATACAACTTTCAAAACATGGGATGCCTACAACGAAACTCTGACGGAGGAACAGAGAGCAGACAGCAAGATGTCAGAGACCCACTGGCCGCCTATTAACGCGGATTCCCTGCAGCTACAGCACTGGTAAGTTTTACTTTGTGCCAGTTACATCACAATGTCCTCTGACTATGACGTTTCACAAGCATGCGAATATATCCCCATCTTCAGGATACGGGTGGATTCTTCGTTGCTGTACTCGAAAGAAAGTCGCGAAGTAGTCATGCGAGTGCTGTGTAGGTTCAAGCGCCATCTTTTCCAGAATTATTTCTTACGCTTGTCCAGGAAAAGAGATGCAGAGGAAGCTGATATCACTGTCCCGGAAGCCAAAAAGGTTAAGCTTGACCTCGACAGTCTGCCAGAACCCCAAACTAGTGCTTCATTTCCGCCTACACCAATGTCTGAGGACGATGGTTCACGCCTGTTGGTGTTGGACACTGTGGAGGCAGATATGCAGGCTGTCACCGACACGAAGAAAACTACATTCAAGGGTAAACACAAGCTCTCTGATCCCTCCTTCAAGGAAATGCCCTATACCTTCCTCGAACCCAATGATCTGACCTTGATATCCTGCATGTACGTGTTTCTGCATCATATTCAGACTCCAATTCACACTATCACAGAGATCAGCTTAATCTTATAGCCAGCTTCCCGTCGTCGAACATCCTTGTCCGCAATCCGGAAGGTGATGCGGTACGATCTTTCTATCTTACAAACGACCTTGTGAAAGCTGTCGTTCTGAACAACGACTATACTCGCATGCGCCTGATGACGAGCGGGACGAAGGTCATCACCAAACAAGAAGCAGGACGGGGACTTGAGGCGCAGTTCCGTGTTCTTGGGGAAGGTTTACCCGTCGTTCTTCCGTATATCGACCCGAGCGTGATATTGGACGCTGAGTTTGCGACTCTGAAGACTCTTTTGATAACGTACTATCCGCTCTGCGCATCGTTTTCGGACCCATTCCGATCTGTCATTGAAAACAGAAGTATGGCTCTTGCAAATAACCATTTGATCGTGCTTCGCTTACATCGGGTTGTAGGTCCTGGGAGCCATATTGTCCGATTCTCAGCTGGTCAATCAAACGACTCAACGTGGGTGTATTATATATACACTGGTACATGCATCTAGCTGACGTCAACAGGCTGTCACACGACCTCCTTCTACCTCTGTGGAAGTCCAATGTATCCGTAGCTCTCATGATCGACAAGAAGGCAAAAAGGTTCGTTCGACATATAATACATCCCGTTTCCCTAGGTAACCCATCGACCGTTCTTAGCGCGCTCAGTTTACGACTTTTTGGTGAAGATATAACAACTGCTGCGCGTGATGGTGGAAAGAAGGTTTCTCAAACACCACAACTACCACAAAATTCAGGCGATATAGTTCCGGATGAAGGCGCCGATAACGAGGATGGAGAGGCAATCCTCGAAGATGAAGGTGACAATGAAGCAGAGCAGTAACGAGTTTGTAGATGCTGTCGCATTCTCACTTGTAATGGCTGTGTTGCGATTTCAATGTTCACTGTAAGTGGTGCCCTGCATGGTTTGCACTTCAAAACGGAGCGTAACCAAAGCTATTATGTGGTCGTTCACGATAGCTTCTCGATGAGCACACTGAGGACACAATCAGCACATACTCCCAAAGGCGATCGTGTCAGGAACACACTCCCGTCCCCTCCTTGCTGCTCCAACCCTGGCACGTGAGAACCGCATAACATGCGCACGGGGTGGACACCGCTCCATTATATGTTGTGGATGTAATTTGCTTGTCCGCGTGTCGCTTACTAGTCTCCCCTAGACAGCTGCCCTTTATAGATGAAGGAAGATGTGTGTGCCACTCAATCGGTCACGATCGACTTTCAAATTTCACTTATGACATCATCTATCTTTCATGGACTATCCAATCGAGCAAAGATTTACCCTCTTTTGCAATTGCTGGCTTCATCTACGAATGTTTCGCAGCGAGGCCTAGAACCAGATAGCCTATAATCACTAGGCAAATGTCTCACTGTCTCTAATTAATTAATTGCTTGACCAAGGTCAGGCCGATGTCATCATTGTCGAAAGACCATAACCCTGGAACTGTATTGGGGTGGGTGCCACATATCCCACCAAGCCTATCGTGTCTTCTCCGAGTCGCTCTTATCGTGATATTGGATGCAAATCATAGTCATGAGTAATCTCGTCAAACGCGTTACGAGGATGAATCGATGAAAGCTAAGCCTGGCATGGACGCGTCCCAGTAACGCATGTAGCTATAGCTCGAGTCGACAGCCATACCTACTCGATGTGATCGAGATTAATCCGAGAACGCGTCACGTTCGAGTTTCAAATTTACGACACGCCGATAAGGCAACCTTAACCCTAGGTCACTTGGTTTGGCTTATCACATAACTTACGAACCAAGTTGAACTTCCTAATTTAATGGCAACGTTCGCGAACACCGCTGAGCGCTGAGCGTCAACAAAGACTTGGACGTGTTCGTGATGGTTGTAGGCGCTCAACTGCGCTCAACCACCTTGTGCTTATCTCTGTGCGCCCAGATTCTTCCTCATTCCACTGGCTTTCATTTTGGATCTAAATAGTACTTATAGCTCAAGCTCACTTATGCGTGTAAAAAGCATCGAGCACTGACAGTGCCGAGGACCAGCACGTCCATACAGACGAGCAGCCTGCCCCAGAACAGAGGAACTAGGCTGGCCAGGGGCAAGGGCAGTCCTCAATGGGGATCCTGGGGTGATATGCAACGAACAATAATAGGATGGCTTCCCAACGTTCGGTATTCGACTTGGCGTGCCGATTGCCGCAGCAGGCTTTGCCACTTTACATAGCTGGTCCTACGGCTTGCACTGCGACACCGGTACCTATGAGAACATGTCTAATTTCCAATCTAAGCGAAAAGGATAGGTCACTTGGCTTGGCTTATATTCACGACTTACGAACTTACACCAAGATGGCGACATTCGCGGACACCTTCAGCGTCAAGAATGACATGTTCGTGATGGTTGCAGGCGCTCAACCAGCTTGCTGTGTACCACCACTGCTTATATATGTGCGCTCAGACTCTTCCCGATTCCACTGCCTTGTATTTTGGATCCAAATATCCATAGCTCCCACTTACTCATGTCGAATATATCATCGAGCACTTACGGCGCTGAGAATAAGGGCGTCCATGCCAATGAGCAGCCTGCCCCAGAACAAGGTACCATAAGACCCTTGGAGGATTCAGAGTAAGTGGCTGATTCCTGGGATTTGTCACCAGTATAACAGAAAGATAGGAATAAGGAAAATGGTGGACTCTCAGCGGTGAAGACACCATCAGTGATGTAAGTGGTTCCGCTCTGATGCTTCTGTTTAAATTTTCACCAGAGTGGCAGTTCGAACGCTGGGCCTTCCCAGCCATCAGAATGTCACGAACAGGAAAGTGCTTCCAAAGTTGTACCGGACAGCGACTTAGCTTCGTAAGTCCCTATCGATGGCAATTTTAAATAAAGCCAATACATTGTCTCAGCCGGGCGGAAAAGGACCAACCGACTCTAAGAGAATTGTGAGCGACAAATTAGGCAAGTGATCGCGATTCGCAGCTGACAACACCCTACATGCAGAGCACATGTCATGGAGAAAGTACTGGATGTTCTCCAGAACTCGACGATTGCACAAAACAGTGACAAGGACAATCGGTCTTCTTTCTGGGGGATATACAAACGAGTCGCAACAGAATATGACGACCAGTTCCTCGTCCGATACGACAGCGACATGAGCGACATCTTGCTCATCGTACGTTTCGTGTTCACCTTTGATCCATTTTGAGACTGATGTTTGATCAGTCCGGTCTTTTATCTGCTGCCAGCATGTCTTTCATTGTCACGATGGAGTCCAATCTCAGTCCCGACCCTAGCGACACCACGAATGCCCTTCTCGCGCAACTCGTGCAGATTGGACTCGGCAACCTCACGGCAGCGGGCTCCATCCATGCAGACCTAGCGTCTACGTGGTCGCCGACTGTGCTGGCTGTGAGGATTCAAATGTTCGCATACACAAGCTTGTCCATGAGCTTGCTAGCAGCATTCGGGGTCATACTAGGCAAGCAGTGGCTCGGGTACTACAAGTCGCACAGATATGGTCGCGGCTCGCCAGAGGAACAAGGAAAGCGCAGGCAAGAGATGTTCGATGGCCTCATGACATGGTATTTCGATGCTGTCGTGCAGGTCAATCCCATCTTGCTTCAAATCTCCCTTCTTCTCTTTGGGATCGCCCTCGGCGCCAATATGTGGTACCAGCAGCCCAGCATCGCTTTGGTAATCATTTCCACAACGGGCTTTGGATTTCTCTTTTATTCGCTGACAGTGATGGCATGTTTGATATCTCCTTCGTGTCCATTTCAGACGCCGACATCGATGATCTTGTGCAAGTTGGGCATTGACAGTAAGATCATTTCGTGAATCCTCGTGGCCGTTCCTCGTCTGAATCAACATTGCAGGGGTTCTACGCCCAGTGTTAAAACAAGTCGTCAGTTATCTCCAGCAGCTTAAGACGTCAGCGCATGGTGAGCCATGTTTTCTTACGTGTTCTCCTATTTTGACCGTTTCTAATCAGGCATGTTGCTAGGAATACTTGGTACCCTCGGATCAAGTTTGACCCGATCTTACTATGAAGTGCTTGCAGGTGACTTTCTTATACTCTCTTACACAGGATATCCATCGCTCATCTCACTCCCCAGGCCCTGTGTGCGCTACTTGTGCATTCGCAGGACGATCTCTTCAGCTATCATGCGCCGTGCTTCGCAAAGGGTTGCGTTCTTTGGTTCCGCGCCCTTCGACAAAGGTTGTGGACTCAGAGGCACAACCACTCAACCAGGATCTGGATGTTGTGGTGGAGGAGGAATCTATCCTTACCCTCGACCTCCGGGACACATCCACCAGCGATCTCGAAGCACCTAGTATCAAGTGGCTGCTTGAGACATCCACAGATCCTGAAGTAGTTCTCGCTACTGCCAAACTTGTTCCGCAGGTCGCATGGCCCCTGGATCTTGACGTTTCAGACACGCTGCGTCAGCTGTCTGATATTTTTACGAGTTGCGTCGATGTTCAGGGGAACATCGTACCATCATTGGAGGAGAAGGCCTCGGCATGTACAATGGCTCTGACTCATCTATACTATGGCCGTGTTCTTCAGGCACATCCTCGCTGTGGTAATTTTATTACCCGTGAAAGAGAAGACGCTGACGTGTTTTGGGAGATTTTACGTGGAGGCATCTATGCAACAGACCGCGCGGTACTTCACATGACTATGAATCTTTGTAGTCCAGATAGTTATCCGTGCGCTCCTGATTTTTCAGAGGCTTGCCCTGACTCCGTCCTTGAGCGGCTGTCGCATCTTCTTCCTTATCACTTTGTTACTGGACGAGCGAATACAGACATAGAAGACCTCGCGATAACGGTGATATCAAAATTGCTATCCTCTCCATCCCCTCCGTCGACTCAAATCATAGCCAATTGCACTCTTCTTGCTTGCGTCATGGTCGGGACTCGGGTTGACAAGAAAGACATAGTTCGGATTGATAAAAGGTGCCATCGACTCATTTGATAGTTTTTCTGCCATGATTAACAAAGAGATCGTCTAGTTTTTTTCTGCCTCGACTCAGTGACTTGCTTTTGGTGCAGTTCCAAAAGGCTCTCTGGGCGTGGGATGGAGGCGAGCTCGACGAAATTAGCATGGGAGTCGTGCGTCGGGCATGGAACCTCCTCGACGTTATTTGTCGTATCCTTGAGCTTACTGGATATCACGATCCTTCACCCCACATCATGCGGAACCTAGACGTGTGCAGGAATATTTATTCACGAGTGAGGTCATCCGAAAAAAATAATACTTCGATTTCGTTAGCAGCTCTACAAAAGGCATTGAACTTCACGTTCGCTGCTGCTAACATATCTCGTGATCCTGCTGAGTTGTGGTATCCCGGCCCGTTTTGGTCAGGCGATTCCCACTCACCAGAAGACTTTGACTGGATGGTGGATTACCTCAACGACATCTATTCCATCAACCACGAAGCGGCATATGACATCCTTTTGCTACTGGATAGCATGGGAGTAAGCTGCAGCCCCGCTAAACAACATGTGTTCATCAAGAGCCTCGTCACCTGCATGGACAGTAACATGCCTCTATCTCTACGCCATGCTGCTCTTCGCGCTGCTCGCAGTGTCGGAAAAGAAATTGCCTGGATCGATGCCATTGATGATGCGAGGCTACGAGCAATAGTTTTGACCAATCTCTCCCCCGCTATTATGTCCGTGGTTTGTCTGCACCCAAGTCCAACACCTGCCAATGATGGTCCTGACCTCTTTTTCGATTATCACCGCGACTTGTGCTATCTGGAAATAATCTTTGCCCTCGCGAGGAATCCCATTTGGCACCCCCGTTTATCCGAGGATCGCCATATCGATCGGTGCATTAGCATGATTCCAAAGTACTGCAATTCCGAATACTACAGCCAGCATGCCTTTTACATAGCTGGTATCCTCCTTCGAATCGCACCTGAACAGACATCGGATACATCGCTCGATTCTGTCACAGCGCAGCAGTGGTGGGACGTGATGAGATGCGCATGGTATTATCTTCCCTATATCATTCACGAAACACGCGATTCCGAGCTCCTTGTCTTTGTGGAACGCACAAAGAAGTATATGCAGATCGCTTCGAAATATAGTCTCGAGATTCAGAATCTCATCAAACATGTGGATGATATTCTCGAAAGTATGGAGCTGGAGATACCACTGGAGGAGGGACTGAATATGCAGGGTTTAGAGCAGGCAGAGGGGTTCATAATTGCTGTGAAGAAGTTGAGGAATACAGCGAGGAACATGCTGGAGAGCTTAGTCAACAACTATTAGTCTAATCATAATGGTACTTGCATGTTGTGTTAGAGTCCTGAAGTCACAGGGCACTGCTTGTGCGGAAGTGGGAAGTATCAAGACATGAACGAAATCAATACTGAATTGTCAGTCGTTTGACTTGTTGACGTATGTCAGGAACAGCGAGCATGAGATACAAATATTCCAGAGACCAAATGTAAACATCGACCAGGGTCCGGGGAAGATTGTTCCATGAGCGTAAAACTATACACCGTCACTGGTGAGGTTTCTGCCCCAGTCACATCCATTCATCGGTATGCATGGGAAAACAAAGACGGGGCGACAAATGCCGATTTATTAAAAACCACCCTTCTTTGGCAGAGGTATAAGGAATAACACTGAAATCGATGAATTTGCCCATCAGAATGCAAATCAGTATTGTCCTCGCCCGCGCCGTCTTCGTCTCCGTCCTCATGCTCCACATCACCCTGCCCTTCGAGATGGTCAGTCCTTGATAGGCCGTCCACATTTCCCTAACGTAGGCTTCGCCATCTTAGCCTCCGTCTCCTGGAAAGTCCGAGTGATGGATGGGGCTTCTACATGTGAGACGTCGATACTGCTGTCAAAGAACATGAACTCGTCTTCACGGAGCGCAGTCGGCTGTTCAGACGAAGCTACGATATGTAAGCCTGCGGCTTGGATGTTCTTCAGCAGCTGGCTGCTGCCGAGCGATGCAAGAGAATTGTCGGATGCATGCCAGGTCCAGAACTGCGGAGAGGACTTCAGTAGTGTAATGGAGTAGCATGAGTGATAAGTACCTCCATGGCCAATATCTCGAGGATGTCAGAGGAGATACAGCGCAATGAATGTGTCTGGGACGATTTATGACAACTTATTAATGCTGCTAGGGTGCGTCGAATAAGAATCATACACGGGCGTAAATGTCAGGTCCTGTGAACACCATACTCATCAGTTACACCACAGAAACAGGCTCGAAGGTGATGGGACACATGCTACACTCGAGAACAATCAACATCATTTATGTAACATCGAAACTGAACAAAATTGGACGGGACACTTCAGCAGGTGCGTCAGGGTGACATCGGGGATGAATACGTTCTGAACGGCCATCATGAGCTGCAAGTCTGTCTTGCGGTCACGGTAGAGCTGTACTATGGAGCCTGGACGTGTAATAAGTATACGGTCTCAGGCTGAGGAGCGACGAAGCTTGTCGTTTGTCGAGTCGATCACCAATGTTAAGTCATCAATACGAAGACTAAAGCTGCTAGAGCCTGACTTAGCTAGCCCATATCTTAGTAACGCGTATGAATTGATGATGGTGTCAAGTAATGAAGTCAGGTATGGGGCCCGATGCGGTTGCGTTAGTAGAATTTCAAGATGGAAATTTGGAGAGCAAACGAAAGTTATGAAACCCTAACCTTATTTTCCTTATCGCGATAAAAATAAGGTTACTGTATAAAGTTGGTCTATGCCGCGGCGCACACTGCATGTCTACTCTAACCAGTTCTCTATCGTCGACCTAAATTCAAAGGAGTCATGCCCGTCGCCTTTGACTCTTTCTGCCAACGCGAGGCAGACCCTATGGCGTGAGTATGTCGTTTTCAACTGGAGTCCTCGGGTCTGTTCATGCAAGTTTTGCCCCTCCCTTCTTCGTCTGGAATATGCTCTCAGCGTTCGGTACTCTCCTGGATCCATAATTCTGAGCGAATCTTGGCCTGGGTATGTCGGTTCCCGCTATCGACTGTAGCGGAGCCTGGTCGCAATCAGCTGCTCAACGTACCAGAACAGCCAAAATATTGACATATCTCCAACGACCTTGTCACAGTAGAGGAGGGCGAGAATGGAAAGCTCCGAAAGCATTTTTGGGATGGAGCAAACCTTTATCTATCGTTCAGCCGTCTTCTCGCGGGTGCGCCTGTCGAAAATTTACTCAGGCACCATTGTAGTTCTTCAGATTACTATGGGCAATAGCAGGGGCCACTTACCTCCATGATAGCCAATTTCTCGAGGACATCCCAGTAAGAACGCAGTGTTATGAAAGTGTCTGGGATGCTCTGGTACATCCCGTCGATGCTGCTAGCGCGCGTCAAATAACAATCATCTATGGGCCTCACGTCCTAGTAACACATGTGGCTCGACAGCCTTACCTAGCACTCGATATGGTCGAGAACATGATTCTCCGTGTCGAGTTTCAGGCCTTTCAGGAACCAAAGGTATGTAACCCTAGACCACTTAGCAAGTTGGTTTATCACATAACTTACAAACTTGCACCTAGATAGCAACCTTCAACGCCATTGCTGAGCGCTGAGCGTCAACAAAGACATGTTCGTGATGGTTGCAGGCGCTCAACCAGCTTGTGCCTATCTCTCTGCGCTCAGACTCTTCATCACTACACTGGCTTTTATTTTGGATCTAAATACCTATAGCTCTCATTTATCCATGTCAAAAGCATCGAGCACTGACGACGCCGAGGACCAGCACATCCATGCCGACGAGCCGCCTGCCCAAGAACAGGGCACGCTCGGTCCACTCCTAACCTAGGCCGTCCAGGGCAGTCCTTAATGGAGATCCTGGGGTGATAAGTAACGAATAATAATAGGATGGCTTCCCCACGTTCGACTTTGGCATGCCGAATGCCGCAGCAGGTACTAGCGCGCTTTGCCACTTTACATAGCTGGTCCTACGGCTTGCACTGCGACACCGGTACCTATGAGAACATGTCTAATTTTAGATCTAGGCGAAAAGGGTAGGTCGCTTGGCTTGGCTTATTCGTGATTTACGAACTTACACCAAGATGGCGACGTTCGCGGACACCCTCAGCGTCAGTAATGACATGTTCGTGATGGTTTCAGACGCTCAATCAGCTTGCTGTGTACCACTGCTGCTTATATATGTGCGCTCAGACTCTTCCCGATTCCACTGCCTTGTATTTTGGATCCGAATATCCATAACTCTCACTTACTCATGTCGAATATATCGTCGAGCACTGACGGCGCTGAGAACCAGAGCGTCCATGCCAATGAGCAGCCTGCCCCAGAAGAGGGTACCATAGGACCCTTGGAAGATTCAAAGTAAGTGACTGATTCCTGGGTTTTGTCACCAGTATAACAGAAAGATAGGGAGAAGGAAAATGGTGGACTCTCAGCGGTGAATCGACCATCAGGAATGTAAGTAGTTCTGCTCTGATGCTTCCATCCAACTCCTCACTAGAACTGCAGCTCGAACTCTGAGCCTTCCCGGTCATCAGAACGTCACGAACAGGAAAGTGCTTTCAACGTTGCACCGGACGGCAATTTAGCTTCGTAAGTCCCTATCAATGGCAATCTCAAACAAGCTCATAAATTGTCTCAGCCGGGCGGAGAAGGACGAGTTAAATCTCAATGAATTGTGAGCAAAAACAAGCCGAGCGATCGCAGCTGACGACTCACCCTACACGCAGAGCACATGTTATGAAGGAAATGTTAGAAGTTCTCCAGAATTCGACGATTGCGTCGAAGGATGGCAAGGACAATAGGTCTCGTTTCTGGGGGATATACAAACGAGTTACAGCAGAATACGACGATCAGTTCCTCGTCCGATACCACAGCGACATGAGCGACATCTTGCTCATCGTACGTTTCGTGTGTTTATCTTTGATCCATTTTGGGACTGATATTTGATCAGTCCGGTCTTTTATCTGCTGCCAGCATGTCTTTCATTGTCACGATGGAGTCCAATCTCAGTCCCGACCCCAGCGACACCACGAATGCCCTTCTCGCGCAACTCGTGCAGATCGGACTCGGCAACCTCACTGCAGCGGGCTCCATCCACGCAGACCCAGCGTCTACATGGTCGCCGACTGTGCTGGCTGTGGGGGTCCAAATGTTCGCATACACAAGCTTGTCCATGAGCTTGCTAGCGGCATTCGGGGTCATACTAGGCAAGCAGTGGCTCGGGTACTACAAGTCGCACAGATATGGCCGCGGTTCGGAGGAAGAACAAGGAAAGCGCAGACAAGAGAAGTTCGATGGCCTCATCACATGGTATTTCGATGCTGTCGTGCAGTTCATTCCTGTCTTGCTTCAAATCTCTCTGCTTCTCTTTGGGATCGCCCTCGGCGCCAATATGTGGTACGAGCAGCCCGGCATCGCTTTGATGATCATTTCCACAACGATCTTTGGATTTCTATTTTATTCGCTGACAGTGATGGCATGTTTGATATCTCCTTCGTGTCCATTTCAGACGCCGACGTCAATGATCTTGTGCATGCTGGGCATTGACAGTAAGATCATTCTATGAATTCTTGTGGTCATTCTATGTCTGAATCAACATTACAGGGGTTCTACGCTTAGTGTTCAAACCAGTCTTTATTTATTTCCAGCAGCTCACGATATCAGCGCATGGTGAGCTATGTCGTCTTACGTATTCTCATATTTTGACCATTTCTTGTCAGCTGTGCTGCAACAAATACTCAGATCGAGATGGATTCGATTGTTTGGAGCATTGAGAAGTAATTTTTCTGTCTACTCTTACACGGGATTCCCAGTGCTCATTGCACTCCCCAGGCACTGTGTGTGCTACTAGTGCATTCGCACGACGGTCCCTTCAACTATTATCCGCTGCGCTCCACAAAGGGCTGCATTCTGTGGTTCCACACCCTTCGACGAAGGTTTTAGACTCAGAGGCACCACCGCTTGACCAGGATGTGGATGATTTGGCGGAGGATGATAGCACCCTTACCCTCGACCTCCCTGACAAACCCACTAGCAATCTCGAAGCGCCCAGCATCAAGTGGCTACTTGAGACATCTACGAACCCTGATGTATTTCTCGCTGCTACCAGGCTTGTTCCACAGGTCGAATGGCCCCTGGATCTTGATGTTTCAGATGCGCTGCATCAGCTGTCAGATATTTTTACGAGTTGTGTCGACATTCAAGATCGCATTATACCATCATTGGAGGAGAAGGCCTCGGCATGTACAATGGCTCTAACTCATTTATACTATGCACGTATTCTTCAGGCACATCCTAACCGTGGCGATTTCATTGGCAGGAGAGGAGGAGACATCAACGTGTTTCTTGAGATTGCCAAGGGGGGCATGCATACAGTCGACCGCACGGTGCTTGACACGACTATAAATCTTTGTGTTCCAAATAGTTATCCGTGCGCTCCTTATTTGTCAGAGGCTTGCCCTGACACCGTCCCTGAGCGGCTGTCACATCTTCTTCCTTATCACTTTGTCACTGGGCGAGTGAATACAGACATAGAAGACCTCGCGGTAACGGTGATATCAAAATTGCTATCCTCTCCATCTTATCCTTCGACTCAAATCATAGCCAATTGCACTCTGCTTTCTTGCGTCATGGTCGGGGTTCAGGTTGACAAGAAAGACATAGCTCGGATTGATAAAAGGTGCTATCGACTCATTTAATAGTTTTTCTGCCATGATTAACAAAGAGATCGTGTAGTTCTGCTCTGCCTCGACTCAGTGAGTCACTTTTGGCGCAGTTCCAAAAGGCTCTCTGGGCATGGGATGGAGGCGAGCTCGACGAAGATAGCATGGGAGTTGTACGCCGGGCACGGAACCTCCTCGATGTCATCTGTCGCGTCCTCGAGCTTGCTGGATATTACGATCCTTCACGCTACACCATGCGGAACCTAGACACGTGCAGGAAGATTTATTCACGAGCGAGGTCATCCAAACGTAATGATGCTTCAGTTTCGTTGGCAGCACTGCGAAAAGCACTGCACTTCACATTCGCTGCTGCTAACATATCTCGTGATCCTGCCGAATTGTGGTATGCCAACCTGTCTTTGCAACCCGGTTCCTGCACACCAGAAGACATCGACTGGCTGGTGGACTATCTTGACTACATCCATTCCGACGACCACGAAGTGGCATACGACATCCTTTTACTCCTGGGTAGCATGGGAGTGAGCTGCAGCCCTGCCAAACAATGTCTGTTTGTCGAGAGCCTAATCACCTGCATGGACAGTAACATGCCTTCCCATTTACGCCATACCGCTCTTCGCGCTGCTCACAGTGCCCGAGAAGAAATTGCCTCGATCAATGCCATTGATGATGCGAGGCTATGGGACATGGTTTCGACTAAGCTCTCCCCCGCTATTCTGTCCGTGCTTTGTCCACACCCAGGTACAATACCCACCAATGATGATCCAGACTACTTTTTCGACTATGACCGCGACTTGTGCTATCTGGAATTAGTCTTTGACCTCGCGAGGAATTCAGACTGGCACCCCCATTTGTATGGGGATCGCCATGTCGATCGATGCATTAGCATGATTTCAGAGTACTGCGATCACGAATCACTCACGGGGCATGCCTTATACATTGCTGGTATCCTCCTCCGAATCGCAGCTGAACAGACATTGGATACATCGCTCGAATCTGTTACAGAGCAGCAGTGGTGGGACATGATGAGATGCGCGTGGTATTATGTTCCCTATGCCATTCGCAGAACACACGATTTCGAGCTCCTTGCCCTTGTGGATGGCACAAAGAAGTATATGCAGATTGCTTCGAAATCTGGTCTCGAGAATCTCATCAGAGATGTGGATCATGTTCTGAACATGGGACTGGAGATGGGACCGGAGATGCAAGGTTTAGAGCAGGCAGAGGGGATTACTATTGCTGTGATGGAATTGAGGACTGCAGCCAGTAACATGCTGGAGGGCTTTGATTAGTTGCCTAATTATGATGGTGCTTGTATAGTGTCAGAGTCCTGGAATCGAAGCAAGTCGTGGGACATGGCACGTGTGGTGCTCAATCAAATGATAATCCTAGAGTTGGTTTTCCTTATCGCAACGATCAAAATAAGATTCGCAAAGGATTTCTACTCGGATCCAAGGATAGCTAGCGCTAGTTCTCTGTTATCGACTTAAGTCATGACTCGGTCAAAGGTCTCAAGACTTTATAGACAAAGGAAGATAATCTCTAACATGGACACGTCCTAGTAATGCATGTAGCTCGACAGCCATGCACTCGACGTGATCGAGATTCGAGAACAAATCAAGAAGGAACCTTAACCCTAAGTCACTCAGTTTGGCTTATCACATAACTTACGAACCAAGTTGAACTTCCTAATTTAATGGCAACGTTCGCGAACACCGCTGAGCGCTGAGCGTCAACAAAGACTTGGACGTGTTCGTGATGGTTGTAGGCGCTCAACTGCGCTCAACCACCTTGTGCTTATCTCTGTGCGCCCAGATTCTTCCTCATTCCACTGGCTTTCATTTTGGATCTAAATAGTACTTATAGCTCAAGCTCACTTATGCGTGTAAAAAGCATCGAGCACTGACAGTGCCGAGGACCAGCACGTCCATACCGACGAGCAGCCTGCCCCAGAACAGGGGACCTAGGCTGGCCAGGGGCCAGAGCAGTCCTTAATGGGGATCCTGGGGTGATATGCAACGAACAATAATAGGATGGCTTCCCAACGTTCGGTATTCGACTTTGGCGTGCCGATTGCCGCAGCAGGCTTTGCCACTTTACATAGCTGGCCCTGGGGCTTATACTGTGACACCGGTACGTACTTGACCACAAATCGAGAACGTGTCGAATTTCCAATCTAAGCGAAAACTTGAAGGATAGGTCACTGAGGGCGTCTCTGAAATGGCCGGTCTGGGACAAAAAAGGTCACTTGCCTCAAACTTGGCTTGGCTTATATTCACGACTTACGAACTTACACCAAGATGGCGACATTCGCGGACACCCTCAGCGTCAAGAATGACATGTTCGTGATGGTTTCAGGCGCTCAACCAGCTTGCTGTGTACCACCACTGCTATATATGTGCGCTCAGACTCTTTCCGATTCCACTGCCTTGTACTATTTTGGATTCAAATATCCATAGCTCTCACTTACTCATGTCGGACTTAGCATCAAGCACTGACGGCGCTGAGAACAAGGGCGTCCATACCAACGAGCAGCTTGCCCCAGAACAGACCCTGGGACCCCAAGAGGATTCAGAGTAAGTGACTGATTCCTGAGATCTGTCACCGATATAACAGGAAGATAGGGAGAAGGAAAATGGTGAACTCTCAGCGGTGAATCCACCATCAGGAATGTAAATATTTCTGCTCTGATGCTTCTGTGTAACTCCTCACGAGAACTGCAGTTCAAACACTGGGCCTTCCCAGTCATCAGAATATCACGGACAGGAAAGTGCTTGCGAAGTTGTACCGGACAGCGATTTGGCTTCGTAAGTCTATATCAACGGCGATTTAAACACAACTCATAAATCGTTAGATGGGTGGGAAATGTCGTGGCAGACAAGAACCAGCCAGACCTCAGCGAATTGTGAGCAACAAATAAGCTGGGCGATCGCAGCTGACGACACCATACGCGCAGAACACATGTCATGAGGGAAGTATTGAGTGTTCTTCAGAATTCGACGATTGCACACGAGAGTAACAAAGACAATCGGTCTTCTTTCTGGGGCAAATACAAACAAGTCGCAAAAGACTACGACGACCAGTTCCTCGTCCGATACCACAGCGACATGAGCGATATCTTACTGATCGTAGGTTTCGTGTTCATCTTTAATCCATTTTGAGACTAATGTTTGATCAGTCTGGTCTTTTGTCCGCTGCCAGCATGTCTTTCATTGTCGCGATAGAGTCCAATCTCAGTCCCGACACCAGCGACACCACGAACGCCCTTCTCGTGCAACTCGTGCAGATCGGACTCGGCAACCTCACTGCAGCGGGCTCCATCCACGCAGACCCAGCGTCTACGTGGTCGCCGACTGTGCTGGGTTTGAGGATCCAAATGGTCTCATACGCAAGCTTGTCCATGAGCTTGCTAGCAGCATTCGGGGTCATACTAGGCAAGCAGTGGCTTGGGTACTACAAGTCGCACAGATATGGCCGCGGTTCGGAGGAGGAACAAGCAAAGCACAGACAAGAGAAGCTCGATGGCCTCGTCACATGGTATTTCGATGCTGTCGTGCAGTGCATTCCCGTCTTGCTTCAAATCTCCCTCCTTCTCTTTGGGATCGCCCTCGGCGCCAATATGTGGTACCAGCAGCCCAGCATCGCTTTGGTAATCATTTCCGCAACGATCTTTGGATTTTTATTCTATTCGCTGACAGTAATAGCATGTTTGATATCTCCTTCTTGTCCATTCCAGACGCCGGCGTCGACGATCTTATGTATGTTGGGCATTGACAGTAAGACCATTTCGTGAATTCTCGTGGTCGTCCCTCATCTGAATCAACATTCCAGGGGTTGTACGCCCAGTTTTCAAACAAGTATTCAGTTATCTTCAGCATCTTAAGACGTTAGCGCATGGTGAGCCATATTTCCCTACGTGTTCTCCTATGTTGACCGTTTCTTATTAGGCATGTTGCTGGGAATACTTGGTACCCTCAAATCAAGTTGGACTCGATCTTATGAAGTGCTTGCAGGTGACGTTCTTATATTCTCTTACACAGGATACCCAGTGCTCATTTTACTCCCCAGGTCCTGTGTGCGCTACTTGTGCATTCGCAGGACGATCTCTTCAGCTATCATGCGCCGTGCTTTGCAAATGGCTGCGTTCTTTGGTTCCGCGTTCTTCGAGAAAGCTTAGGGACTCAGAGGCACAATCGCTCGACCAGGATCCGGATGTTATGGTGGAGGAGAAATCTACCCTCACCGTCACCCTCGACCTCCCGGACATACCCACCAGCGATCTCGAAGCACCTAGTATCAAGTGGTTGCTTGAGACATCCACGGATCCTGATATAGTTCTCGCTACTGCCAAACTTGTTCCGCAGGTCGAATGGCCCTTAGATCTTGACGTTTCAGACATGCTGGATCAGCTATTCGCTATTTTACGAGCTGCGTCGATGCTCGGGGGAACATCGTACCATCATTGGAGGAGAAGGCCTCGGCATGTACAATGGCTCTGACTCATCTATACTATGCACGTGTTCTTCAGGCATATCCTGACCGTGGCGATTTCATTACCCACGGGAGAGGAGGCATCAGCGTGTTTCTTGAGATTGTCAAAAGGGGCATGCGTAGAGTCGACAGCACGGTGCTCGACACGACTATAAATTTTTGTGTTCCAAATGAGCGTCTGAGGGCTCCTTGTTTGTTGGAGGCTTGCCCTGACACTGTCCCCGAGCGGCTGTCACATCTTCTTCCTTATCACTTTGTCACTGAGCGAGCGAATACACACATAGAAGACCTCGCGATAACGGTGATATCAAAATTGCTATCCTCTCCATCCCCTCCGTCGACTCAAATCATAGCCAACTGCACTCTTCTTTCTTGCGTCATGGTCGGGGTTCAGGTTGACAGGAAAGATATAGTTCGGATTGATAAAAGGTGCCATCAACTTATTTAGTAGTTTTTCTGCCATGACTAACCAAGAAATCGTGTAGTTCTGCTCTGCCTCGACTCAGCGAGTCACTTTTGGCGCAGTTCCAAAAGGCTCTGTGGGCATGGGATGGAGGCGAGCTCGACGAAGATAGCACGGGAGTTGTACGCCGGGCATGGAACCTCCTCGACGTCATCTGTCGCATCCTCGAGCTTGCTGGATATTGCGATTCTTCGTACTACACCATGCGGAACCTAGACGCGTGCAGGAAGATTTATTCACGAGCGAGGTCATCCAAACATAATGATGCCTCAGTTTCGTTGGCAGCACTGCGAAAAGCACTGCACTTCACATTCGCTGCTGCTAACATATCTCGTGATCCTGCCGAGTTGTGGTATGCCAGCCTGTCTTCTTTGCAGCGCGGTTCCTGCACACCAGAAGACATCGACTGGCTGGTGGACTATCTTGACTTCATCCGTTCCGACGACCACGAAGCGGCATACGACATCCTTTTACTACTGGGTATCATGGGAGTGAGCTGCAGCCCCGCTAAACGGCACCTGTTCGTCGAGAGCCTCATCGCCTGCATGGACAGTAAAATGCCTTCCCATATACGCCATACCGCTCTTCGCGCTGCTCACAGTGCCCGAGAAGAAATTGTCTCGATCGATGCCATTGATGATGCGAGGCTACGAGCGATGATTTTGACCAATCTCTCCCCCGCTATTCTGTCCGTGCTTTGTCCGCATTCAGGTACAATACCCGTCAATGATGATCCCGACTACTTTTTCGACTCTGATCGCGACTTGTGCTATCTGGAAATAATCTTTACCCTCGCGAGGAATTCCATTTGGCACCCCCATTTATCTCAGGATCGCCATATCGATCAGTGCACTAGCATGATTCCGAAGTACTGCAATTACGAAGACTACAGTCAGCATGCCTTTTGTATAGCTGGTATCCTCCTTCGCATCGCACCTGAACAGACATCGGATACATCGCTCGATTCTGTTACAGAGCAGCAGTGGTGGGACGTGATGAGATGCGCGTGGTATTATGTTCCCTATGCCATTCACAGAACACGCGATTTCGAGCTCCTTGCCCTTGTGGATGGCACAAAGAAGTATATGCAGATTGCTTCGAAATCTTGTCTCGAGAATCTCATCAGAGATGTCGATCGTGTTGTGGACATGGGACTGGAGATAGGACCGGAGATGCAAGGTTTAGAGCAAGCAGAGGGGATCATCACTATTTCTGTGAAGGAATTGAGGACTGCAGCCAGTAGCATGCTGGAGGGTTTTGATTAGTTGCCTAATTATGACGGTGCTTGCATATTGTTAGAGTCCTGGAATCGAAGCAAGTCATGGGACAGTGTATGCATTGGGAGATATCAAGACCTCAATGAAATCGATATGGAATATTAATCATCAGTCGTCTAACCGTGACTTGGTAGACACTAGATGGCAAGCGTGGTGCTCGATCAAATGATAACCCTAGAGTTTTCCTTATCTTCACAACTTGCACGACAGGGGCGGCCATACCTGTATATGATCGAGATCTGAGAACAAAATTATATTAAATCCAGAAGGAACCAATGGCAACGTCACCCACGCTGAGCGCTGAGCGTCAACAAAGACATGTTCCTGATGGTTGTAGGCGCTCAACTGCGCTCAACCAGCTTGTGCTTATCTCTGTGTGCTCTCATTCTACTGGCTTTTATGTCTGATATAAACACTTGTCATTCATGTAAAAAGCATCGAGCACTGACAGCGCTGAGGACCAGCACGTCCATGCAGACGAGCTGCCTGCCCCAGAACAGGGTACGCATCAGGAAAAACCTCCCGTTTTAACTTAGACAAAATTAGAATACTGTAGAGATACGACACTAGGTTCGTCACGTGCAGCCCGTGACGATGTCACGCTTAGTCTTACAGGTTCGAATGTCCAGGTGACCTGTGACCTTACCCAAATAGATTCGCCTGCGGATCGTAGTGCTTCGCCGCTCGCAACGCCGTTTGCAACCATCTGACATGCTGCTTCGTGATTCAAGCAACTTGCTTCAGTCTGTCATGGATTCGCCTCGCATAGCGCTGACTGGTAACGAGTGGAATTGGAGATTCGCGAGCCTCGCAAGTCGAGAGGCGTTGCAATATTTACGTGATGTTCAGAAGAATGATCCAGCTGGATGGACGAGGATTGCTACTGCTCAGTACAAGACTGTCAGCGTTGACCAGGCAACAAACTCCGAGTCAGAGAATGAGGCCACTGATACTACCGGAGCCGAATCCCCCTTCGACGATGCTAGCGAGCATGACCTCGATGCCAGTGACGTGCCAATGGATGCACTCCTTGATCATATGGCTTCCGGGGGTGAACACGTCCGTTCTGACTGCCGTATCGATGCAGATGGCGGACTTCTGTGTTCAAACCACTCCGAAGTCTATGATGTGGGTGACATTACTGCCAAAGATGTGGAGAGTGGCTCGAATAGTGTTCCGAAGGTTGATTACGGGCGTGGAAAGCGTAGACGCATCGCAAATTCGATGTATGATGATTTCTGGTCCCATTAGCGCATAACCTATGTTTTTTTTCCCATATGTCACAAATTAGCTTCGTCCCACCAAAAATTCATGTGACAGTCACACCAAATAGATTCGATTCGTTAAGGGCTGTGACCTGTGACGAACCTAGTGTCGTATCTCTACAGTACTAGACCCGGTCACTTCAAGGAGTGACAGTGACAGGTGAACGAAGACTTCCAAATCAGACTGCGTTCTGCTCAGTGGCCTGGCTCATTGCTCTTCGTCAGCGCAGGACGCGACACTCAAACGTAGAGAATCATTTGCGAGCTCCCTATTTTGTCTTCCTGGTTTAACGCTTTAATAAATACCTTTCTAAAGTTCAATTCTGGACTTGGACGCCAAGGTCCATTCCACCACAGGACCATCCTTCTATACCCACCTTGATACCGAACATATCCCATCCAAGGCTATGGCAACTCCTTCGTCGACTTCAACCAGTCCCGGAAAGCGCGCGAGCACATCGAAGCTTCTCAATGATTATGTTGTTTGCATCGGACACACATCGTGGCACTGTACTGAATATGTGTGCAGCAACTCGGGGACTCTCTTGGAAAGGGCGCGTTTGGTCAAGTCTACCGTGAGTAATGAGATTTCTGTGAAATAGACTTATGCAAGCGTTGATGCATGCAGGGGCACTTAACTGGGCCACTGGTGAGACCGTGGCCGTGAAGGAAATACAACTTAGTAACATACCAAAGGGAGAGCTCGGGCAGATAATGGTGAGTCGGGGACTCATTATCAAGGGCTTCGGGCGCATTGTTCAAGACTTCATCCTAGTCCGAAATCGACTTACTAAAAAACTTGAATGTATGTGGCTCTCGAAACTATAGTCTGATCGTTTATCCGATTGATTCCTCAGCACCCTAATATCGTCAAGTACAAGGGCTTCGTCAAGACCAGAGAGTACTTATACATTATTCTCGAGTTAGTCCTCATTCCACCTCAACTGAGAAAATTAACTGAGCATATATACCGTGCCAGGTTCTGTGAAAATGGATCATTGCATAATATCTGCAAACGCTTCGGTAAATTTCCAGAGAACCTGGTAGCGGTCTACATCTGTCAAGTCCTGGAGGGGCTCGTATACTTGCACGACCAAGGTGTCATCCATCGTGATATAAAGGGCGCGAATATCTTGACTAATAAGGATGGCTGTGTAAAGCTTGCTGACTTTGGAGTCGCTAGCTCTACTACAACTGGTGCCATTCATGATGATGCCGTTGTGGGCAGTCCCTATTGGAGTGAGTTGTCATTGTATGTGTCTTCGTCACGACTTATAGCTTTCCACGCCAGTGGCACCTGAGGTCATCGAACAATCTGGTGCAACTACGGCGTCAGACATCTGGTAAGTATAGTTCAACTGCTTGCGAATCAACATAAATGTTGATATATTATTCAGGAGCGTTGGTTGTGTAGTTATCGAACTTCTTGAAGGCAAGCCTCCATATCACTTCCTCGACCCCATGCCTGCGCTCTTTCGGATCGTTCAGGATGACTGTCCTCCTATTCCCGATGGTGCATCTCCGATTGTCAAGGATTTTCTACTTCACTGTTTTCAGAAGGACTGTAACCTCCGAATCTCAGCCAAGAAATTACTCCGTCATCCTTGGATGATATCTGCAAAGAAGCAGATGAACGTGGCCGCGGGAAATGGAAAGAGGTCTCCAGAAGGCGGACCACAATCATTCACTGACGGCAAGAGACCCAAAAGCAACTACAACTACGACGAGGCCGTCCTCAAGGTACAGGAATGGAATGAAGCCCTTAAATGTGATCTATCATTGTTTTTATCAACTCCACACTCATGTTCCCTTAGCCCCTACACGACCTACGAAGAAAAATTGTCGTAACTCCGTCTCTGAAGGCCAACCACCATCCCCGACCCGTGGTGGTCGAGATAAGCCTGCGGTGTCGCTCCTTCAGCATTCAGTCCTTGGTCTCCAGGCTTCGACCTCTGGCAACTCTGTTCTCAAAGGACCCAATACTGCCCCGGGGAAGCCTTCTGCCCCCGCCGCTCTAGTCGAGAAGATTCGGGAGCCGCTAGCTTTTGTCCTTCAGCCTCCAGAAGAGCAGACAGACAACTGGGACGACGACTTTGAGGATGGACCCTCATTCACCAAATTACAAGGTATGTGCGAGATTGAACAAGAGTCGTGATCTTACTTTGTGTTGCTATCTAGCCTCCACCTTAGAGAAGACGTCCATGGAAGATGAAAAACCAGAAGGTGATGATAATGCGCAGACCATCAGACCAAATCGTAGCCCAGCTGGCCCCGGGACAATACCACTCGCAAGGGCACCGTCTGCCGATATTGTACCCATCGTCGAAGACTATTCCGATATCGCAACCGAGGAGGACGAGCTCCTACTTCAAGAGAAAGTGGCGGATTTTAAGGTTAGTGCATCCCTTTCTTTTCCTCATTGCTGACCGAGAACAATGTCGAAGATGAAGAATTCGGTACGCCGGGGACTCTTTCATCCTGACGATATCAAAGTCCCCGGACTCCTTTCTGGTTCTCCCGGTCCTATGTCTGCACCCCTTCCTAGTTTGTCGCGGAAAGCATCCCGCCCGTCTCTCAGTCCTATTTCTAGCATGGGCCTACCACCTACAGGTTCGATACGATCACATTCCCGCTCATCTTCCTTTGTTGGATCTAGTTCAAGTGCCTCCGGCTCTTTTGGTCGCGCAGAGGCAAAACGTGCGGCTAGCCATGCCGAATTTGGCAAGTATGCTGAGGAAGACGATGAGGACTACGATGATATCTTTGGAAAACCTGGCGGAACTAGTAAGTAGTCTTATGCCATTGTATGAATGATTTCGAACTGTAGCTTCGCAGCTCTCGAGCAGCCGATGCAGACCTTGCAACTCAACACAAAATTGTCGAACAAGTCATGGGTAAGGCCTGTATTTTATTTCGGACGTTTTATGGCGATTGATTTCAATGCAGCTCGGAGACGATTCGGACGAAGACGATCCTTTCGCAGAGGCAAGTTTTTGTGCGTCATCCATGAATATTGGCTGACTAAATTCCTCAGATTGACGAGGGTTTTGCTGAGGATGACCTTGAGACTAATCTTCAACGCGACAAGAATGCTCGGTTGTGCAACATGGTGAACCAACTGATCGATGAACTAACACCCTCGGCACCTGACTTCCAACTGCGTGATGCTTGTGATCAACTGGTCAGTTCAATCAAACTCAATGGTTTTATAGTCTGATGCATCGCCACATTTCTAGATCAATATCATGACAGAAAACCCAGATATGCTTGTGCAGTTGGTGTCTTCACATGGTATGCTGGCGATTCTAGAGGTACTGGAAGGCAAGTGTTCCAGGGACGTCCTCATGAAACTTCTTCACATGATCAACTTAGTAAGTCGGCGACCTAATTTTGATCCATGAACTTAACGTCGTCGGTTAGTTGGTTACAAGCGATCTTGGGTTCTTAGAAAGCTTCTGCCTCATCGGTGGGATTCCGGTCATGATGGGTATTTGTCGTGACCCAGGAGAGGTTGATAATGAAGGGCTGACATCCTGTAGGTTTCACTTCAAAGAAATATTCTTCTGAGTGTCGCGTGGAGGCATCCAACTTCATCAGGTTGCTCTGCCACACATCTGTATTGACGTTGCAAATGTTTATCTCGTACGTGCTTGTCTGACTTCTCTTTATGCACCTGTTCACATCCCCTAATAGATGTCGTGGCCTGAAAGTTCTTGTTGATCTGTTGGACGAGGACTACACAGACCAGACTGAGCTCGTCGTCGACGCTCTCAACGGCATAGGAAGCGTGTTCGAATTGCAAACTCCAACGACTAAGAATGATTTCTGTCGTATGTTTATCCGCGAAGGCCTCCTCGATCCCCTCTCTTCCGCTTTGCTCAATGTCATGGGCAATTCCAGTCCCAATGCAATCGAGATGAAGCACAAGATTATACAGATCCTTCTCGTGTTCTCACAAGTGACACAAAGCGATATTCACGTACGTAACGCCATGGGGACACGGAAGATTGTCAGACGTGAGATTTCCGTGTCAATGATTAGATTCGATGCACCTGACTGGGATTATGATGGCAGGTTTATTACGCGCATGCGAGCTTCTGGAGATGGAATGCCTGGTTCAGATGCTGAAAGCTGTTAAGCACTTGTCCATGAATGCTAATCTGCTCGAGGTGCTTCAAAACACTAACGCCATCGAGATACTCATCAAGCTACTGGATGAAGAGAAGACCGGTCCTCATAGCACGGTAAGCCATATGAGATCACGACTTGGGCGTCGCTCAGATCAGATGGTACTTCAGGAGGTGTCAAATCACATTTTCCAGACCTGTTATAACCTTTGTCGGTTGAACAAGTCACGACAAGAGGAGGCGGCTCAAGCCGGCATTATTCCGTGCTTGAAGCGAGTAATTGAGACCAGCTCGCCTCTCAAACAGTTCGCGTTGCCCATTCTGTGCGACTTGGCTAGCGCGGGGAAAAGCTGCAGATATCTCCTTTGGCAACACAATGGTCTCGCGCTTTACTTGAAGCTTCTAGAGGACCCATACTTCCAGGTCAGCGCATTGGAGGCGATTCTGTCATGGTAAGCAGAATTTTTTTCAATTGCGTTCTGCACTACCGCTGACGTAAACTCAGGTTGCAAGATGAAACGGCCAAGATCGAAGATGAGCTGGTCAGCTCTGAGTCTCTTGAGGCGTTGCTCAAGTGCTTTGTAACCGCAAAAGCCAACTCCTTTGAAAACCTCCTTGACCCCCTTCTCAAAATCTGTCGTATCTCCACCCCGCTCACAATCGGCCTTGCCAAATCTCAATTCTTCAAGCGCATCATTGACAGGCTCAACCACAGCCGTGCGGTCGTTCGTCTCAACCTCTTGCGTATCCTCCGGACCGTTTGCGACGTGCACCCAAACCGTGCGATGTTGGTGGAGCGCTACGGATTGCATGAAATGGTTATGAAACTTAGCAAGGATGATGGTGCTGTCTTGGTGCGCGAGCTGGCGAGAGAGATTCTACCCGCACTAGCCCCTGCACTTAAACCGGTGGGCAACAGGTCTCTGCTCAAGGGGCATGATACTCCGAAAAGCAGTCTGATAGCACCCAAGAAAGCCAGGCGGACAGCATCGGAAACGTCTGCGATGATGGGACCAAACTCGTCCATGCTGGGTCTTAGCATGGGTCCCCCTCCAACATCGAGGACGGGGATAGAGAGGACGTACTCATCATCCAGGCATAGACTTGGTGATATATCTTGGCAATCTCATGGAGGACAAAGATGAACTATTTATTGTCTGGTTAGACTGTGTGCTTTTTATTAATTTATTGTCCGTTCTTTATCATTAGCTTTGCATGCATCGTTATCAGACAGTACTCTCATTTGCACATTACCATATATCCTCGTTAATGATGGCATGCAGAGAACAAATAACTTGATTAACAACGTAATCTGGACATGAATTATGAGCAAATTAAGAAACAGCGGAACAAGGTAACGGACGTACAAGTAATCTACTTGCGAGCAAAGGGTATCTGGAACCAGAGACCAGTGCCCTTGCACGATTTTGTGCACCAAGCCCCACTGCATTGGTGACAAAGTGTATGTGCATACCATAAGACTTGGGGTACGAATCCAAATTGACCTCAATTTGAGGGAAGTAGCCCATGGCCTCTGGCGGCAAGCCAAATGAAACAACACCAGCCACGCCGCTCGGAGATTTCATTGTTGATGATGCGGGAGGCATGACTATGCCCGGGAACTCTCGAATCCTCGGAAGCACAAACTCCACCAGGGTATTCAAAAAGTCGTACATCTTGGGTCCCTTTAACTCGACCTTTGCACCGATTGGAATACCAGGGCGCATCATCCGCCGACGTTCTTTTTCCCCTTCACGATCTGCACTCCACTGCTCGAAGGGCGACCTCCGCCACTCTCGGTTTCTCCCGACATTGCACGGAATGCGGCGATGAGACCAAGTAGATTACTCCGGTTGGTAAGCGCTTCCTTCATCATGGAATGAATGACTATTTTTTCTAAATGGACGACATTCTGAGAAGTGGTCGGAGGTGCCGGCTTTTTGCCCGCCTGAGAGCCACCGACAGGAGGGTTGTAACGGTTTTTAGTGTAAGGGTCATTGGGGTCGTAAGTGAGACGGATTTGGCGTGGTGATGGTGGTGGTGTGCCAGACTCGTGATTGTAAGTCATGTACATCAAGTTGTCTTGAAGAGCAGTGTGGTAGTGGTCCATGAGACGACATGGGTGCGTGTCGCGGACAATGAGATTCCTGACGTGCGGCACTGGAAGACCATTCTCGTCACGCTTGAGGAATTTGCGAATTTTTGGAGGCTTTCTGAAAGGACGGACTGCCTGCGCACTGTGGGAGACGCGAGCTGCTGCTGCACTCATCTGAAAATTATATTTGTGAAAATAAGTCCAGGTATCAGAAAACCGGAAAACGAACTGAGGGACGCGAGAGTCGAAGTGAGGAAGCAAAGCGATGGACCAAGTAAGGAAATATTTATTTATGAATTATTTTTATACTTCTTCCTCGGGTTAACGGTCAGGTCAGCCTCAGTGCTAATTCATTCGCAGTCCTCAACGTTGTTGACGACGTCGGCGGTCGACTTTATTTCTTTTCATTTAATTGTTCACTTAATGGCTT